TCACTTTATTAAAAGGTGGCAATGAATCTGCAACCCGTCGGTTGTTGCAAATGTCCATGGGTGGCGGTTATCACGTGATGTTACATGGACCGCCACCTCCCTTGCCACCTTCTCACATAAAAAAAACTAGCCATTCTATGTATGATTACACCTAAACAAATCATGAAAACGAACCACACTAAGTAAAAATACGCACCATTGAAAACTCTTAAATTTAAATCCCTAATAACTCCCTAAAAACACTCGATAACTCAAATGATTTAACATTTCCCTAGGTCTTTGCCTTGTCGAAGTTCTAAGTGTGTGATTGTAGAAACGATACGAAATACATTCCTATAGCCCGCTTTTTTCTGTTTAGCTAAATGGTAAAACGCAGTTGTGATGAGCAAAGTAGTAATGAAATAAAAAATAAGTACAAGAACATAAAACTAGACTACTGAAAAATCGGGCTTCTTTAGCACATTTTTTATATAACTAGCTTTTGCCCGCGGTTTCACCCGCACGGGTTTCCATTATCCCAATCCCACAGAAACATTATACTGGGATTAATAGTATCCTATTGTTTCTGCAGGGTTCACTTCTGATGCGTGATTTTAGAAATTATTCCCAACTATCGGGAGCATCAGAGCCGCGAGAATCGGCTGGAAATATTTATATTTTTGAAATGTGCTAACTAAGCCCGTTGACATCCAACACAGCATCAATAAACTTTTTTTTAGTTCATGACTTGACTTTACGTCCTTTAGAGGGCTCCATATTCAGTTTAATGTGAAGTAACTTATCATATACCCACCGGAGAATCAAGACTCTTCCAACGATACCTCATTTGACAAATTTTGATGAGCAGTTTGGAAGTTTTGAGGGAACAGATGACGAAACATACATACAGGTCAAAAGCATAACCCACGTAAATATATAATAATGTCTAATAATAACGTTTGTTCATATTTTGTGCGCAGTATATCTTAAATAAATGTTTCATGTACACATGTCATTGACCGCAACATGCCCTACATACGTTACTAGTTTGAACGAATTTACAACATTCACTTTTAGTCCTGACAGCCTGCCGCGCTATGTAACAATACCATCAGATTTAAATACGAATACACACTATCATGCGATACCCGGTTAACAACACAAAAAATTACTTAACAAATTACAAAAAAATATGTTGCCAGATAACGATAAAATAATTATGAAATATGCCAAATAAATGAATCAAGATACATAATATGTTTACGAAAAATTTTGAAAAATTTTTGCCATCCGTCTGAGCAAAAACAGTCAAATTATTAAGTACCTATTTCTATGGGTAGTTACATGGATAATAAATAATAGGCTGCTTATCTGTTTGTTTGTTTGCTTGTGTACAGTTGGTACTCTCTGGAACTGGAACTGAAATGCATCGTAATCCTGATGGTGAACGTTGACAGTATTGAGTTAACTTGACTCAAATGTTACGCGGATTCTGGTGACTGGTATTTGGCGCAGTTTTTAATCACGAGGCTAATATATAGGGCCATGATCGCTGGGGCCCTATATCTGAATTATACTTAGACATAAGAATCCAAAGTCTGATGGAGCTGTCTCAACTGACTGACTTTGCACTACTTTTTACATGGCTCTGCAAAACACCAGCATGACTTTAATGTACATTACGTGACATTACAAAAAAATACCACTCTAGGACAGCCAACTGTGTATCTCTCACTTTTCCATCAGGTCACTAATAGAGAAGCTAAAGTAACCATTATGCGATCGATGCACAAACAAATTTATGAAATACTAACTTTCTTTTCTGAAACGATAAAGTGAAAGCCTGATTTCATCTATTTCGTACGTAGCCGCATGCTGTGGCAATAACATGCCATAATTTTGTACGATAATTAAATCTTCATATATAACTCTTCTGTAGGTGTGTATGTCACTGAACTACTCCTAAGCGGCTGAAATTTTTGTGTGAGTTCAGGTGGATTCGAGAATGGTTTAGATTCACAAAGTTATTCAAACAAGTTTGTAAGTTTGACAACGTATGTCCGGTCCGCTAGTTGATTATAAATTGTTAAGCGGTGAACTTTAAAAGTACGACTGAAGATCACTTTTTTCTATACTATCAAGATATCTATACGAGCAAGAGTTATATCTATACGAGCAAGAGTATACTCTGCATGGCACCAAAAATATATAATAGGCTCCCGAAAGAAATGAAGGAATTAAACACAAATCTATTTAAGAAAAAACTACGCGACATGTTAACAGAAAAATGTTATTACAGTATAAACGAATTTATGTCAAATTAATAATCTAAACGTATTCAGTGAATTAATAATGTGCAATTTTATCGAATTTTTTTATTTTTTAGTCATTTAATTATTTGTCATTTTGTTCTCTGTTCTATTATTACTGTTTGTTAACTTACTTTTTTCATAGACATTTGTTTTAATATTATTTTAATATTCTGTTATATAATTTTTTCAATTTTATTTTATGATGATAATGATTAAGAAATTTGAGAATGTATACTGACAACCTTTAAGCGAACATATCATATTTGCACACCCTACAAAATGGGTAGAATATAGCGATAAAAATTACTGTGTTGTACACCTCATGCCTAACCTATATTTCGCAAATAAATACATTATTATTATCATTATTATTATTATTATCGCTTACAATTATAGTAACTAACATATAACTTTGCTTAGCAATGTAACGGCTCGTTGGTCTAGGGGTATGATTCTCGCTTTGGGTGCGAGAGGTCCCGGGTTCAAATCCCGGACGAGCCCATCGCCATTTTTTCTTCAATAGATGCATATTTATTTAGTTATTTTTATCGAAATATATTGTTATCTATTTAGCGACAATTTTTGAAGTTTTGATTTTTTTTTACGTTATTACGGATTGAAACAAAAAATAACATTTTTAGCATGCCCTATGATAAAAAACGCTTTAATTTTTTGTTTGCATTATCAAAACTAAGTTATATTCAAAAATGCTACATGTAATATAGGTTAAGGTCAAATCGTTTAACCGAAGTATTTATCAATGATAATCTATAATAATCAATGAAATACATAAAAACAAAACTATAAAACCAAACTAGTTTTTAGATTGCATATGTTATGGAAGGCGCTAAAACACCAAGGATTAACAACCGATTTAGCACAAAAATTGTGTTACTTGAATAAATGGAGGTCATTCATTAAAATATTAAAGATTACGTTTTATATTTCGTTTGAACATTAAAATAGACTGTTATATATTTTTGGAGATATTGTCGTGAAAATGTATTTTGATGCATCAAGTTTTGTTACACAGTTACTAATGAAGCTGGTTACAGATATAACCTTTGGCTTTTTACATTATATTGTTTCCTAGTCGAAAAAATTCCCTATCGCATATCCGCGTTGCGAAAATAGATACATATGAATGAAGTAGAACAATTATTTGCATCATCAATATTATCGTATAATTTGGGGCCATTATTGATTAGTTCAAATCGCAGTGCCGGGACCAGTGAAATAGTCAATAACAATGTTAAGTGCTGACTGGACACATGTATAGTACTGTAGGGAAAAGAAATGAAGAAATCTGTAAGTATATTACCGAAATAATAACAAATTATTATATTTCAAACATATGTAAAGTCTGCCAATCCCCGGCGGGACCGCATGAGGGTGGACTTTGCCCGCATACCCTCCGTACACAGAGGGCGTGAGTCCAGCTGTGGGAACATACTTATTTGTATGGTTTCTTCGTCTAAGATTTGTCTGTTGGTATAAGCATTTTCATGTACCTATACAATTTTCTATAATTCTGTCTAAACAATCTTTGTCTGCTTCCCCCGTATGGGCTAAAAGGACAAATCCTTATTTATTCTTGGTATTACTTTTTTATGAATGTAATGACACTCTTTATTGTAAATGACATAAGGCTTGAAAAAATACACACAATCAGGAGAGCCTTGAGTCACTAACCTAAATATTTGATGTCATAATAATAGAATATTTACATTAATTTCGATACGCATATTCAGCAATTCTTATGACATTCTTAAACGGTTCTATGGCACTGTCAAATATTTTTAGTTGTAAATTTTATCACACTACACAATTTCATTTCATAAGTATAAACTTTTATTGGTATTATACTATTATATGGTATTTTTGAAGTTTAAACATCACACATTAACAAACACGACAACGACGTGTAACGACACAAGGTACACCCGCGTTCCAGGGCGGTTCTCACCGCCCGCAGCCACCGATTAGCTAAAAACACAGTCGACGGCCATCGGGGTCTCGGTTCGCACCGCAACTTCGATGGCCCTTAGATGACATGTAGTTAAACGCACGCATGAGCACATGCGCGGCCCGACCCACAGCGGAGGGCCCAAACCCGTGGGTTCTGGCTAGCCCACCGGTTCTGCGTCAGATGAAGCTTTAATAGTCTCGGGACTGAAAGCAAAAACATCAGTTAATACAAGATACAAGACACTTTTGCTGTAGAATTGTTGTTATATAGATAAGAAAATAAAGAACTCATTGGCATTTTTTCTGATATAGAAAAATCATTTCAAAGGTCTACGAAATAGTTTTTAATGTTCCAAAAAAACTACCCAAGTCTCAATGTTACTTAACCTTCTGGTTTAACCGCCAGTAGTAATATAAATTATTTATTTTTTGTCTTTTTTTAATTATTGAGAAAATCAATTTATTTGTTAAAAGTTTCTCAAGCGGTTTTTTTAAATTTCCAAAAAACAATAACAATAACACAAGAGGTTATACGATTAAAATGAACATCAAATATTTGAATACACATATTTTCGTTTATTCCTCAAGTAGTTGAAGCTCATTAATTATTTCGACAATATCCACACAATAAAAGTTCGATTATATTAAGATCATAAATATGGGACGCACTGGCACTTTTATACTCGCAAAAATACTCGATGTCCACAATGCACTTTCATAAAATTAACATGATTTAATTTACACCTTCCCCTCGCTCGTGCCGTCGGCTTCATTCGACTTCCTTTGGGTCATTTCATTACTCACTATGTCCAGTGATCCGTTTTTAGAGAGACCGCACACAGACAATAGTCTATTAATCAAATCCTTTTTCTTGACACAATACGTTATTATCATCAATATGATCAACACGATGATGATGACTCCGACGATTATCGGAGCACTCTTGTCCATATCCTCGTCCAGCCTGGACAGCTTCGCCGTTTCTTTACGCAGGAGCTCTTCCAACGGGGCGAAGTACTCCAGGATTCCACGCGTGGACAGTTCCCTTTCACCGGTGATCGCTTGGAGTACAGACCTCCAATCCTCGCTGGCGCCCATGGACATCCCGTTGCTGAAAATGTTGCATAAGCGTATAAATCTTTATTTCCAAGAATCACAGTATAAAAATATAACATGCAATTGTGTTTCGCTAACGATAGTGCATACCGTTTAAATTATAATTTTAAAATGTTCATATTATGGCAATATATATTAATAATGATTCATTAATTATCTAAAAAACATTTTAATTCATAAAATAATTAAATTTTTAACCAACTATGCAAATGTTTTCTAAATCATCTTTCGCTAAATAATTTTGATTCTTTAGGCAGTTTATTTAATATTTTCATACATACAGTTAATTCTATATTTAGGCAATTTTCGTTATAATTAACTAGCCTAGGCATGTTAACTAGGTTACACTAATGATTTCTTTGACATTTACGTGTTTACTTAACATCGGTGAATTAAATCAACTTACGCATTTTAAGAATTTAATTTAACTCAAGACTAGGTTAAGTGAGAAATATCTGTTTTAGCCTATTTCAGTGCATGATGACAAAAAAAATATCCGCAAAAAGAACTCTCAGGTCAGTTGAAATGTAAAATTGGCTGATAAGCGTTGCACCTGTTGTCCATATTCGTAACGGACAATGCGAAAAGAGGTTTGACATTTAAGTAACATTAAAATAAAACAAGCTGAGAGATACAGTTTGTGACCTTCGTATGCAAACTGCATACGGACATGTAACATTCGACCGTAGACTCGCAAATTAATGAGGAAGAATAACCTGAGGAGTTTTCCTGCTTCCTGCGCGCCATGAATTGAGCAGGCGTGCAAAGGTCCCGAGTGGTTCATTCTTCTACACAGCGATGACAGGATTTGAAATTCAAGCACGTGAGACACCAGATATCTAATTAGAGATGCATAATTTATAATTAATTTAATGCATAATTTAAGAATGAAATAAGTATACATAATGAAGTAACATTTTGATTCCGTGGCGTAGTTGCCAAGGCATTGGCTTCGGCGTCGAGGCTCGTGGGTTCGATTCCCACACGGGACAAATATTTGTGTGACCCACAGATAATTGTTTCGCATGTGTTTGTAAAACGTCCTTACAACACTGGATAATGTCCTAAAATAAGGGCAATATAAAATAAAAACAAACAGAAAACAGAAGAAAATAGATAGTTTTCGTGGCATTGGCAAATAACTGTTATACAATATTTCAATGAAGCTGATTGCGGTGGTAGGGCCACGCAGCAGCCTCGGCTGTTGCTCGAATGGGCAGGCTCGTCCGGGTAAGTACCACGACCTCACAGAAGATCAGCGTAAAGTGGAAGTATGACAAATACTTTCGCGTTTCGTCTGGTGAGTGAGGTAGTCGGAGCCCAATTTTCAAAAGGTTGTCAACGCATCTGCAACCCTCGGGTATGGCATATGGCCATGGTTAGCGGTATTCACTTAACATCAGGTGAACCGCCTGCTCGTTTGGCAACTTTTCACATAAAAAAAATATGATTGTGAAACGAGCATTGGTGTATCCGTCACATTAAAAAGTCAATCAGCTTATACCACTTTAGTGGGGTAAACGTGGTCAGTTTTTACATATCAGACGGTGACAACTATCAGAAAATGCAAACAGTTCGCGCTGATAAACTCCATGCCCTAGTCATGTTCTTCGTGCATTTATCTACTTTATCCGTGCCCCGTAATTTCACACGATTTTAATTTGGATGATACATTTATCAAAGCGCACGATAAACTGTTTGTGCGTTGCTAGTTCGGTTCTTATTTTAGTATTAAATCAGAATATTGGGCTAGCCAATCCACACTTTCCACGCATACGCCTCCTTCACACGTCGCCGTTTTTCGAGTAACAATAGAACTTGTTTTCTTGATCGCAATGGTCGACGCATTCGTGTCGTTGATATCATTGACATTTATGGTGACTCCTACGCTCCTAACGTGAGGCCTAGTCTATAACCTAACTCAATGACAGCTGGCTTATGACAAGCTAATTTTTATTAACAAAACCAAAACTGACTTCGAATACCTCACTCGCTACTTATATTTTTTCGATTACATTTTGAGGACATGCCTCTCCTGCTGTACTGAACCCAATGCAAAAATAATTTAAGACTCGGTCCATATCATTGTACCACGTCCTCACAGAAGACTAGCAGTATAACGTGAAGTGAATATATTACACTTTCGCGTTTTCATGAGTGAGGTAACCGATGTTCACTTTTTTTTAAGGTTGTTAACCTATTTACAAGCCCTTAGGTGTTATAGATGTCAATGGGCAGCAGTAATCGGTTTTCATCAGTTACAACTTTTTAAAATTAAAAAGAAAAAATATCCTAGAAAGAATTAAAAGATATTAACATATTTCAAATACATATGTAAAGTCGCACCCTGCGTAGAACAACGTGACATCTGCAAAATTGTAATTGTTCAGGACGCCGATTCAAATTATTATTTTTTTATTTTGGTTATAGTTTTTATATACATAGCAGTTGCTATTACAATTTTTGAGGTTTGTGATATAATTAGGTATTTTAACAAACAGTATACTTTTTGAATTAATAATTACGTAAATTTAGGAAATAAGAGGTTTCATGTGTAATAGTGACGTTTTCCTACGGAAAATGGCAATCACTAATGGGTCACAAGATCACATAAACACGTTTATATAACGTTGTTCAACGGAACATTCCAAAAAATAAAGGGTCACACGTTCATTTATAACGTTGTTCTACTAAAAATTCAAAAAATATGTACGATACAAACGCATGTAGCACTGTTTTAAACGAAAACACCATTGACTGTGCAATAATTATCAATTGACTCTAATAGAGTATTTTACACTCGTCTATTACATTAGTAAGCTTAGTCTAGTCAGTACAAAAAACAGTGCCTAAACGTACATATGTCCTTGTACTGCGGAGCAAAAATCAGATGGAACGTTGTTCTATTCTGAATCTCAATATCTATATGTCAGACGAAAAAAAAATTAATATCATCTGAAAGCGTAGACTTTCCGATGATAATTCAAAAACGTTCTATGTGACCACAGAACGTTATTCTACGCACAGTCAAGTCAACAAGCGATTCCGCGACTGGATCGCGTGCAAAACTTTGCCCATTAAATTCCTCTGCCCGGAGGAGGCCTTTTCCCGGCATTTACTTCAAGGACACAATGGCTCACGTTATATACTGCACATGCGACACCACGTGGTACTTCGCAGCGGGATCCAAGTCACTTTCGTCTCGTGGTACTGGCGGTGAAATTCCTGTCTCATTGATTCTGCAATAAATGAAAAAACAAGTATGAAAGTAAAAAAAAAAAACGCTTTTCGAAAAGGATTTAAGGTGGCATCGCATCTGCAATCCTATGGGTGTTATAAATGTCACGCGGCGGTGTTTATCACTTAACGTCGGGTGAACCGTCAGCTCGCTTTCAACCTTCTCACATAAAAAAAAACTCTAGATAAAACTTAAAAGATCACATTTTTACTGAATAGAGACAAATACAAACACAGCCAATAACTAAAATATATCCAAAAGCTTTCAAATTTCGCGAGATATATGATAAGATTTAATAAAAATTTGTAATGTTTTTAATACATGTTACTCCTTAAATTATTCTTTGTTTATACTCACTTTCTAGTTTAAAATGTTGTAAGTTGGTTAAATTATGTAAGTTGTAACCGTCACCCATGACTTTTACCAAGTCACCACAGTCAATTTAAGTGACTCGTAAGTAAAAGTCGATTTGCTGTACCTATTTAACAACTTTCAAGAAAGTTTTAGCAAATCATCTAGACTTATTGAGACTTATAATTTAGATAGTTTTATAAAAGCCTAACGACTAGCCCCGTCTTCGCACGGGTGCAATGTATTATTATTACCTTCCTCTTGAATCACTCTATCTAGTAAAGAAAACCGCAAACAGATCCGTTGCGTCGTTTTAAAGGTCTAAGCATACATAGGGACAAACAGACAGCGGGGCGACTTTGTTTTATACTATGTAGTGATTGGCAAAGCTTTGGAGAGTTTTGTAAAATACATACATTTGAGCCTTCTCAACCATCATCATGACTTACAACATTGTGGATTCCACTACAAGATTAGGACTATTATTGGTTCTTTTCTACCAAGAATAATCCACCAACTTATAACATAATAACAAGCTTTCAAGAGAACTGACTCAAATTCAATATAAATACCAAAAAGATAATTTGTATGAACATGTTTTTTTTAATTTTTTTTCATTCATATAATGAGTACGTATTGATGTTTTATGAGTTTTAGTTTATATATTGTGTTCGTAACAGTGACGTAATGGCTGGGACTACAGACTTGCGTTTTTAATTAATGGGCATTTTAAGTGGCATTCAATTAATCGTTAATCGTTCGTGTAAAGGACTTAAGTCTGTTTTCCCTGGCTCCGGGATTGTAAGTTGGAACGCGGACATCTACCTCTTTATTTCATGTCTGTAGATAATTTTGAAATCAACACACAGTTTCAAATTATACCGCTGGCAATATTAATTTTGTTGATTCAATTTCCGGTGGGTGATTCCCCTCTTCTCCGCTCTGAGACCCTTAGGAAGTTTTCTAACAATTTGCCCAAATATACGTGTACTTTTGATCTTTTTAGGTACAGGATACACTTTCCGTGTGAGTTTTGTTATTTAACCATTTAGCATCCCATTTGCGCTTCATATATGATGCCGTAGCCGGATTCGGACAAGTGAAAGTTCATCGACCCCGTCTCAATGGGCGACCTAATAGAAATTTTCATACCGTTATGCGGTACGTACGTATCTTGTACCATTTAATATTAGTTGCAAACATTAATTGGTATGCAAAATCGCGTGACTTCAACATAATCTTATATTGAAATAAATAATTGAAATAATTATAATGAAATCTACAATTATTGCCCTCTAGTTAACACATAGCTATATTAGCAAATGTTTAGGACACCTCAAGCCATTTATAACGAATTCATAATGAATTTCGGTCCATTTTTTTTTCTAAAATTTCTTACAAATAATCGATTAGTATGAAAAACTAATTGTGTATTCAAAACAAGTAATTTGAAACAATAAAATTGGCAACTGAGAATATATTTTAACCGTCAATAATAATCAATGCGCGTCCGACTACGTTTCTGACGGTTCGTTTGGTAATCAACAACGACAGCCTTGCCGCTTAGCCGCATCCATTGTTGCTGCGACCAACCTCAATTCCCACCAGTGGCCGTTCCAGTTCAGCGAGCCGGGCTCCGCGAAGATGTTCCACCGCCATTTGTCGAGCACGTAAGCGTACGCGACCAGGGGCAGTTTCTCCAGCGCGAGCCAAAGCAGATGATTCAGCTCGGCTTCGGGCCCCGTCTCGACCTTCGCGGCGCTCAAGGTCCGTAGGTAGGAAGGCGAGGTCAGCTGTACAGCGACAATGTCGGAGATTGCATCGTGAAACGCTGCAAGTGAACGTTACGTGATACCTACATGTATTGTACAACGCATATCTAAATGCCACAATAAAACAAATGGGATAAGGTCTTTCGTACAAAAGCGCTTAGTAAAGTGTCGTAGTAAGGATGTTTGCACGTTATTCAACGCCCCCCCCCCCCCCCCCCCCCCACCCCTTTATTGACAATTAAACAGAATAAAAATATACGACACAGATGTGTGATAATATTCAGATGAATACGATAATACTACTCCTGATCCATTTGTTTGTTTATCCTTTTACCAGCCAAATGTATAGTATTCTGAAAAATGACTGGTTCTGGGTCCAAGGTAATATTTAAAAAATTCTGATGATTTAATATACGATATTAACATACCTATGTTAATAGTATGTTACTCCATTAATTATCCAAAAAAAAACATTAATCTTGTATCATAAAGATAAATTAAGCTTCTAATTATGATATTACGATTCTCTGATATAATTTTAATATTTGTATTTTATAAACTGAACTTTTTGTTTACATTTTGAAGTTAGAAATACTATAATTGACGGACGGCAGAGGCAAACTTTAATAAAGCAAATGTTTAAAGTTTAATAAATTAAATGAACTGTTTTTGTATTTTAATAAGATTCACAGAAAAACTTATATTAACGACGTCGTTTTTGCGTAGTGGAGGCACGGTTGGCTTAACATTAACATAAGTCTATCACGCATATTGAAATTTTACTGTTAAAACCCAACTACTATGTTTATAAGCTCTTAATTATACATAACATTTATTTTATCCTTCTTTTTATAACTACATATATTATCAAACAAATATCCAGAATTAATAGAGATTAGATGAATATTAGTTTAAAACACGTAGGTAAACATAACTATTCGTTGTAAACGAAAAAACATTTGCGCAGAACGGGTCGTATCGTAAAAACCCTACAAGAATTGGGACAGCCTACATTTTGTAAAGTATTTAAACAGCTCTTTTATTGCATTGAGCAATAAATGAAGGATCCAAGAATGTGGTAATAGCTCTTACTGTGCTTTCGTTCCTTAGCGTATGTCTAATCGTTTAGTCATAAGAAGTCACATTTCTAACTAAAGGTAGGTAAATATACTCATTTACAACTACTTGATTTTTTTTGAAAACCATGTTATGCACAAACAATAAAGTAATGCATAGATAATAATTATTCCCAATGCAATATTTTGCATATTAATTTTTTTACTACAGCAGTGTATTTCCTAAAGACAAAAAGTTTAAACAATGAAATGTTAAATTAACATCTATTTTCTGCTATATTTTTGAAATGAAAATCAACTCAATACAATTTTTTGCAATCATAACTAATTAGTATTATTTAATCTGTTATAACGTCTGTATGAAGGAAGTTCCTATAAATATCCTTACCCGGGTTAGGTCCATCTCGATATAACGGCTGAAGTTTGCGATAATGTTTGAAGTACTGCACATGACCTAGCAGTCTGGCGGCGCGTGATAAACCTACTGCAACGTCTGTTAGATTTTCACCACACCATTTAATCCTGTTAAAAAGAAAAAGAGGTTTTATAAAAGAAATACCAATAAAGAATAGAAACATGGAAAGCCCTCCTTGGTGCGGAGTGTATTATGGAAAAGTCTACCACGACTTATTACTTATTAAGTTGTTACACTCCTACCTAATCCCCGTCGTAAAACGCACGGTGTTATAAGTTTGATGGATCGTAAGAGAAGATACGATTGTGGAAGATACGATATCTGTGGCATCGTATTTCCAAATCTTCCAAACGAATGGAACCGATTATAGTGCGTTCCTTTTTGTGTAAAAGCTGACTTTATCGAGATGGATCTTAGCCATAATTTGGGTGTTATTTTTGTGTCAGGGGGTGGGTTAAAATTTCAAATTTTTATATTATTACCGATTGTTTCATTTAACACATCTTTCAAATGAGAAACAAAACAAACAAACAAATTTATAAAAAACAACATAATCACACAAAAAAAATCAATAGTTTAGATTTTTTTGTATTTACGCAAACACATGGTTAAAGGAAACTATTTTTACGAATTACACCGTGTTTTGTCTTTATTTTAAATTTTCAACGTTTCGTACACTTGACAACGTTCATGGTCACGGGACAGACCGGTCCTGTCCCGTGAAGCTTTGAGAATTTAAAATCATAATAAAATGGGATAAAATGTGTTAAAACGGGATAAAGTCTGCAGTTCCACTAGACACGGTTATGTTTTATAAACATGTGAAAGTGCCCTCCTTAACCCCAAATGTTTCATGTGGTTTGGCTTGTGACCAGAAATCTGCCTCACATTATCATTTAATAAATTCAACGACGAGACCAAGTTGGCCGCTGGGGGCTGGGAGGCTTGCTGCTTATTATCACTGATTATTTTAGTTCCAAACGCCTCTGGTCAGCGAACTCGGGGGAGTTCGTTGCCCGTGCAAAAGGGGCTAAGAAGGAAGCCTCGCATCAGCAGCCCCTCCTAGGGGATAAACTCCCTTTTTCTTCAGGTGATTGGCGCTGGTGCATGGAGTGCGCCTTCCCACGCGGCCCCTCTTGAAGGGATATTTCGATCGCCCCTATTATTTCTCTTTTTAACCGACTTCAAAAGAAGGAGAACCTCCTTCTCGACTGTATTTTTTTCATGTTTGTTAACTCAGAACTTTTGAATGAATGAACCGATTTTGATGATTCTTTTTTTATTTGAAAGCTGGTGCTTCCCATGTGGTGCTGGGGCTCCGGAAATACTTAGTAATGAATACAGAGCAAGATATTTGAAGTCGGTTTTGTTTTTTTTTTTAGTAAAAAAATGGTTATAATCTTAACAGTCACGTGACAGACACACGTGCAGACGGTGAGCTTGTCACTATTCCCGGATACAAAGCTGATAAGAATTTGTTTTATATTTCTAATTTGACGATGTAAAAGTTTTTATATTTTAAATGAAACAATATTTATTTCGCATGAGTTGTTTAGAGTACTACTTGAGATATCTTAAGATTATTTCGGGTTGATACGACCTGCGTTTAAAGTGCGTAGCCTTGTAAAATGAACATGTTTAGAATAAACCCTTAATAATATAAAGTCGTTTATATGTCTTACAGTTGTCTTTGCGATAAAGATATTTTTGGATACTTAATGATTTTCCTTACTTTGCTCGCCTTAGCTTGCAAAGGAATCGAAAGTATTGGTATTTTTGTCGAGTAATATTTTTTTACTAAGTATGAAGCAAAATATTCTTGAATATACGTAAGAAATCGATAAATTTAAAATAATTGCCGATGGGAACTTCCTATTTCCTACATTTCAAGATAGTAACTGAAGCAAATATTTCTATAGCTTTTGTCGATTACATAAGACAAAAAAGAAGCATGTCGACGCTTGAAAGCCTATCCTTACTAAGCGACAAAAATCCGTAAAATGAGTTATATATATCATTCGAATCGCCAGAATTTTTCGCGTCGTTTGATCTGAGTCTCATGGTTCTACGACGAGTTTTTTGTCGCTTAGATATTGAGAGATTTCGGTCAAAATCTACATAATGTGCTTACTAAACGACAAAAAAATATTGATTTTAAGAATATGCAGCACATCGACATTTTGAAAATTAGGAATATGAACTTAGTCGGTTTCTTATATATTGACTTTTTCATTTATTTGTATTTACGTATTTTTACTTGTTATGAAATTTCCCTTTGAAACTACTTAGTAGATCTTACCTACAAAAAGCAATTGTAATTCATGTGGTTACGTATTTTAGCTTGTTATTATATTTTGTGAAAGTGTCTTTTTGTATAAGTTAACCTGAAATAAAGCGGAAGAAAATTAGAGCTTAGATATTTTTAGTTGATAACGGTTAATGTTAATGATGTCGGTTATGTAGTTCTACTTGATTTTGTAAATGACTATGCATGGCGAGTAGATACATTTACCCGTACGCAAATTTTATTTTCCTGTCGCTAAGGAACTGCGTAAGTTTCAAAAACTTTGTATAGATATACACGATACGTGAAGTGACACGCCTATACGGGTTCTCAACCAGGCGCCTGCAGTCGCTTAGGGAGGACGTATTTAACATTTTGGCGCAAATTCAATGAAGACATGGTAATCGATCAAATTATGCAAAACTCTCTCAAAACAGATAGTCACGTTAACTGCTGAACCAGCCATATTTATCACTTACCTCATATCACGATCTACCGTCTACATCTGCAGGACTAAGTAGAGAATCAATCATATCAAATCTAATCTAGCATTTTGAACGTTTTCTGGAATTTTGTTGTAGTAACGTAGGTATACATTGTCCCATAAAACATTTACTTATTTTACGCAGTCTACTTGTGGGTAGGATCAATTTATTTTTGTTCCTAGTATTATATCATGAACATTATTATGTCTTGAAAATTTATCCTTATTTTTATGGACACACAAACATTTTCAAAAATGTATTGAGAAGCAACAGTCAATCTATTCTATTTCTATTATCTTTATCTATTTAAACAAGTTTCTTAATGATTCTTTGGGGCCCAGATTGTAAACTGCACGAATAGCTCTCTTTTGTAAGATGAAGATTGTATTACTGTCGGCCGCGTTACCCCAAAGCAGAATGCCATAAGACATTATACTGTGGAAATAACTAAAATATACCAAGCGAGCCGTATGTCAGTTAACTGTTTTATTTTTCTGACCGCGAAAGCTGCTGAGCTAAGTCTACTCGCCAGTCTATTAATATGGGGGCCCCATTGCAGTTTGGCATCAATAGTTATGTCAAGGAATACAGTTGAGTCAATAGGGTCCAACGCTTCCCCATATAAAAGAACATCAGTTTTTACATGTTTAACATTGGAAGTTGTAAATTTAATACATTTAGTTTTTTTATTATTCAACAGTAAATTGTTAGCACTAAACCAATGTACTACAGTGGATAGAGTATTGTTTACATCGTCATAACTTAAAGAACGTCGTTTTACTTTAAAAATTAAAGAGGTATCGTCAGCAAACAATACTATCTCATGATTATTATTAACTAGGTAAGGTAGATCATTTATGTAAACGAGGAAGAGAAAAGGCCCAAGAATAGATCCCTGTGGGACCCCCATATTTACCAGGGCCCCAGGAGATCTCTTGCCATTCACGTCAACTCTCTGAATTCGATGGCTCAAGTACGATTTCAGAAGATTGAGTGCGGCATCTCTTATACCATAGTGGCGTAGTTTCCTGACCAAGGTCTGATGCTGTACACAATCGAAAGCTTTGGTTAAGTCACAGAATATACCTAAGGCATCCTGCGACTCTTCCCAGGCTTCAAAAATATTCATAACAAGCTGAACACCCGCATCTGTTGTTGAGCGACCCCTAGTAAACCCATATTGCTTGTTATGTAATAAATTATGAGAGCTAAAATGCTGTAACATTTGATTAAACATGATTTTTTCAAAAACTTTACTAAGAGTTGGCAGTACAGGGATAGGTCTAAAATTATTGGGGTCGGAAGTACTACCAGATTTAAGCACCGGAATGATTTTACACAAAAATCATTAAATAATGGTTAAGTAAATTTACTTGATTTATTAATTTAAACTCTGATTATTTTAGATCAATTTTTTTCTGTATCAAAATTTTAAACTAAGTAAATTTACCTATTTTTACATGTTACAGCATATGCTACAGTGATGACTTATATAATTTTACCTGTTTATGAAATCAGGTAAATTTTATCTACCCGACACAAACTGGTGTTTATAAAAGTGTGAGCTATCGTATTGTGACAATTTCAATAGCCACAAAAAAAATAATTCTACCAGTGTTATCATCATTTAAATCGAACAATAAGTTGAATTTTTATGATTTTTTAAATTTATATTTGAACTTTAAATCACTCTCCTGTAAAATTTGCTAAGTGTCGCTTAGTTAGGGTTGCCTTTCAAGCGTCGATGTGATTTTTTATGTGAAAAGTTTGTGAAAATGATCGCGTAAAATAAATGAGTTGCGTATAAATCACGCACTATTTGAGACAAGTTAAAATGAATGTAATTAATTACTTATGAGTGATTTAAAATATTTATCATTTTTATATAACATTATTAATGTCTAGAATTTAATTAAAAAAATGGATACAGTTAGAAAAGCCTCCCTGTATAAACAAAGTTCTCAGGGTTAAAAGTATATACAAAGCCCCCGGATTGAGGCATATTAAATCATTTAAGCGATATTATTCATTTTAATTTAATTAAGGCAATGATGTTTTAATAAAGATGACGCATGACCATACTACGCGGTGTTTAAAAATTGTTCCGTTTTACATTATAGCGTATATAAGTGAATGTGACAGATGATATAGAACGTATGACACGGAAAGAGATAGCAGTCTACAGAATTGCAATCCTATTACGCCAATTGGCGTAATTTGAGTGCCTCAGTTTCGTTGCGCTGGTGATATCTACTTCGTATTTGTATATAATGATCTTCAACAAATGAAATATGTTATAACTGGTTTCAGCTATGTTTTTAGTAGCAGCCACCTACCTCACATAAACCCTTCTTGAGAACAAACTAACACATCCGGATCAATTATCTGTGAAGCACACTAACCCTTGCCCCGTGTGGGCGTCGAAACTACGACTCCCGGCGCCGAAGACAATAGTTTAGCAACTGCGTCACCGAGTATTTATCATCAAACGTGATCGATAAAAATAACGCACAACATAAAATAAAAAATATGGAAAAAAAATCATTGCATTTACACGAATATTCGCCCGCGGCTCCGCCCGCATGTACTACATCTTATATCGTGTTAAAAAAGTACCTACGGAAGCCTTCGTGTGCGAGTTCGACTCTCACTTGGCCGATTTTTTTTAACTTTATATAAACTTATAATCATCATCAATTTACAGACCATAATATATAGTTAACTATAGTTTCATCCAATTCAACTGTAGCTATTATATATATAGCATTTTATCGTACAAATCTTCAATGTGGTTCTTTAAGTTGATATAACTTTTTTTATTTATGAACCGATTTAAATAAAACTAACACTAAATGTTAAGTGAAGCTTACTACAATGCATTAGTGGAAATTGCACCCAAATCGGATAAGCAAAAAAGATTAACAGACGAACAGAATTTTTTTTAACAATCGTTGTTTTGGCTTCTACTGCGTTGATAAAGGTCCCCAATGACAGTTTTTTCAAATATCTTCCATGTAGAGACAACGATCAGTTACATTTTTAATACATGTATATAGATGAATATGTTTAATATTACTAATGCTACATTACTTGTAATTGACGCCATCGCACATGTCGTGGCTGGAAGGCAGACAGTTAGAAGAGATCATAGTTCCCTTAATATCTTGGTAGGAATCTTTAGCACTTTCAAAGCCAAGCGATTGGTGGAACTCGTCGACGACGTCAAACAAATCTTTGGCTTGTAAACTCTCGTTGTTTTGCATCGCTGGCCTTTGAATGTCTGGGTATGGCGTTACTTTGTTGTAAATCGATTGCCACTCTTGCGCCCACAGGTTGCCTGCAAAGTTGATGTTCGACGATTAAATCTTTTGCCGTGTAATATTTGTCAGGCGCTTAATATATATTACAAAACAATAACGCATTTTACTACTGTTAACGATTCTAAATATTTTAATGAGGAGTATATCTGTGCAACTCAATGAAGACGGCAACTTAATTTTTAAGTTATTTAAAGACTTTCATTTGAAAATCGCAATGTACATTTTTCTAATATATTTCGTTTAAATATTTTCTAAAATTTTAACCATACATTTTTCTAGATCGTCTCTATCTAATCTAATCTATCGTAGTTATTGTAATTTCCAAAAGTAATGAGCCGTTTTTAAGCGTGGCTTAACTTTTTTTGTGTTTAGTACGCAATTGAGATAAAATTAAGAAATTAATTAATTAATTAATTAAATTAATTACAAAATTAAGTTACACCAACAATTGGAATAACTATTATCAAAAATAACTCATACACGTTTCATATATTATTTCATATATTACTTCATACACGAAACGTGTATGAGTTCATAGTTTTTTTCTTTTATATTTATTAACTTGTATACTTTTATATATGTCTAATGGATTTAAGAAACTTACCGAGAATATGTGCTGGTATTAATTTGTCTTTACCGGCCAACTCCTCTTTGTAATAACTTTTCAATTTCACTCTAACGTAAGCATGCAGCGCATCGTAAAGAGGTTTAATTTCAAACCAGAGTTTGTTAATAGTGTTTTCGAAGTCATCGTCTTCGAATGAATATCGCCACATTTCACCGGCGTCTTTGAAGTTCTCAGTTTCTGCTACATTATTCATTCTCGCCACGTAGTCTTTGAAAATTGGTCGGATCAGCTTTCCAGTTGCATCTCTATAAGCTTTCCAATAATATGCTAATTCTTTCGTATCATTGCTATGTTTGAAGACTGAGATAATACCTAAAAATATATAAGCATTTTATTATTTTTTTTTTGTTTTGAAGTAAGGGTGAAATATTAAATAAATTGAATCATTTACATAGATCAAAACTTTATTCCGACTAAAACTTATAGCTTTTTGTATAAATAAGACAATCATCTGAAATTTATGCAATTTTTTGATTTTGTTTCTCACTTTAAAGATTGTTAAAATACCTTTAGTTAACAGTAATAATAGTTTAACAGTTAAATACTCAACCACTCATCGATCGTAACGAATCTTCTGTGTTACAATTTGTTACATTGTATGCACATACTGTGACTCGACTCCATATCCGCTGCATAGTATCTATTTCCTCTCTTTGCTGAAAGAATAAAACGTTTCAGAACACGACAAATTTTATACATTCTACATTGATAGTTGTATTCTACTCGTATTATACTACTTTGCTTTGGGGCATCTGCACGTTCGTTCCCCTCTCCTTGATGATTCGTAACTTCCTCTTCCATTTCGGGTCGTTTAAAACTTGTTCGTTATTTAGATATTTCTTTTTTAATATATTCCAATATTTTTTCTTAATTTCGTCTTCTTCCGCAGCTATTCTTATCTGAAATCGTATTGAACGTTCTTGACAATTCATTTGCAAAATAGCACCGTTGTTAATTTTGTACAAATACCTTACCATTTTATTTTTTTTAACTTCATTACTTATATCGGTAACGTAAGACCATAAAGCATACTGCGAGGTTTTACATACATCCAAACTCAGTTTGTCCATTTCCTCGACGAAATTTTCGAGCGTCATATTATCTTTATCTAATTCATCGAGTTGAAGTTTAAAACCTTCTACATCATCGGTATTCTTCTCTATGACAGCGTTTGGATCCAAGATGGTCCTCATAGCATCGACTAGATATTTCTTATCCCTTATTTCTTCCCCATCTGGATCAACTTCATGACCGCTCTCATCAGACTGATCTATGGTTTTGTTGACTTTTATCAAATTTTTCTCGTCTGCAGACATTTCTGACGTAGGGTTTGTAGGAAATTGTACCGCGATTGACATTGATAACGTAACCAGCGTATACACCATATGCTGGAGAAAATAAAGGACATTGAACTTTTACAATGGTCTCCAAAATTATGTAACACAAATATTATATAAAGCTCTGTTTATATCCTGTCCACGATGGACGACACTATTGACGAGAAATTATTAGTTACATGGCTCATGACATACTCACTAGATTAAATGTAATTCCGCATCGTGACAATGTAAAATAATACAAACGTACTTATTAAATAATGACCACATCCTGAACACAACTACTACTCGCGTCGTATCTCATTTTCTAAGATGCGTTCCATAGTCATTTTTGAAATGATTATTATATACAATTTGTCGAGGTAGTTATCCTAACATATTTTATTTATTTATTATTTTATAAATTTCTGTCCAAAAAGCACCTAATTTTCAGATTTTATTTTAAATGAATCCTGCATACGGATATCTTTCAGTTCTTTTTTATTTTTTCAAATTGATAATTATATAAAATAACCTTAAATAATATTATTGACTATTAATAAGCTATTGAGCGTGTAAACTTGTCAATTTTTAAGATAATACATCTTTACTTGATTCAAATGTCTAGTAATCCCATTGAATACAACATCCGTTCATGTCAATAATATCGTTAAAAATCAATTTACCTCCACTTTTACTAACTTTCTGCAATTTTACGATTACGGCAGAAAATGTTATTATCCGTACACGATTACATTGATTGATTTGTAAACCTTATATAACCACTTGCACTGTTACTAGCTCAAATCGTAACCGAGCCACCAACACCCATTTCTCGTAAACGGCAAATGTGAATCAACGAAAAATACCCACCCATAGGTAGACCATCGTGGATGCGTTCCATCAAATTCGACAAAACTTCAAAAGTTACACACAAAAGTCACTCACTACATCTTTTACGTGTGTACGTTCAATCTAACGTGTGCGTACGGACGTCTTCCTCACGCGGCTGCCGTATCACGAAAGGTTTGCGGCGCGCACCGTCGATTGTTTGTCAATACAGCGCTGTTTGGCCGTTTCGCGGATTTTTTTTTCCGAACGGGAACAATCGCGTTCGCCGTTTTGTTTTGAAAACGCGGGACGTGCGGGACCCGCCCGCCGCCGACGGCTCATTGTTGTGGAATTACAAAACGCCCGCGCCGATCCACGGAACGCGACGGGACGCGCCCGTGCGAACGGATGCGCGTTGTTGAACATCGCCACCCTTTGTTGATACTGATGCAGCCGTAAGGCGTTAATTCGGGCTCGGTTGATTCTCAAACAGGAGTGAAGTCTACAAATTTTGTGTTTAACTGCTCGGCTCGTTTAAAACCTGGAACTGATAATGTAAAGGCTGCGATTACCTTTCATAGATTTGTTTTGTCGGAGGAACTGTTATATCTACGTAGTAATAAAACACTATAGGCGAAGTAAAAGCAATTTAATAGGTCAACGATAAGAGAATCAATAGAATTTCTATTTCACAAACACTGGTGAATTGCACTGCACTTGATATATTGTGTTGTGTGATAATTTGATACAATTGTGCTTATTTCGCGCTTTCCTTCTTAAGGAATGATGCAAGCATTTGGGCACCAGTTTCCTCGATCTCTGTATAACCATACGGTTCAAGTTCCTTTTTTGTCCTTTCGAACCAGTTCACGATGTTTTCGTGAGCGCTGTAGTCATAATTGAAAGCCTGAAATTGAGTAAAAATTAGTAAACAGCCACATTTGTGTTCGCTCTAACTGGCAAGAAACCTGCTTTTGCATTGAAGAGAAAAACCAAGAATGGTCGAAAATTAAACAATTAACAATGTCACGTCGATTGGGATCATCTGAAATTCGAAGCCAATTGACTTTAGTCTTAAAAAAACAACAATTTCAGAATTTTAACCAATTATTAGATTGAAACATAGACGGGGTCCTCATAGGACGGGCATCGCTCAATGTAGGGTTACAGGCTTCTTCTGAATAAATTTTGTATTGTTATTATTGATCAACCTTCTCTCTGAGTATACATTGATATTTGATACGTCTTAAAAGGCCATTTCGTAGTACTTCTCACTGCCATTTCGTATATGAACTAACGAGGATTGGTTACAAGGTATAAAATTATCGCATAAACTCTTAAAGAGGCATTATTGGAAAGTGCAGTAAACTCAATATTTATAATTTAATTTATTTTCAGTCTTTAAATTAGGTTAACGTCTGTCTTGGCTTAAATCAATATAACAAATATTAGTAGATAAAATAATATACATAAATAAGTGAAACTAAACTGCCGATGCAGACGGTGTCCTTGCAAGAAGCGTTCCAGCTCATAGGAGCAAACGTTTTGAGAGAATTAACTCTCTCGAGAACTATCAAGATAAATTTTAACGGGGATCGCCAGCCAGATCCAACCACTTCATCTTTTTGCCCGTCTTTGGTAATGTCGACCAAAAACATCCTTAACTGTGCTGGTGGTGCACCTTTTTCATGATGATGGCCTGTTATACCATCAGGCATGTCGGGCCACGAAAAACGCCGAGTCAAATTGTCACAGCGGCTTTGGCTGTTGCACAAATGGGCTGGCTTGTCCAGCAAAGTACCACCGCTTCAAAGAAGACTAGGAAGTGGGTATAAATATCATAATTTCGTGGTTTCAGGTTGTCGATGGTTGTCACAGGTATTGATGTCCATGAAACCACCTGTTGGCTTAACAACATTTCACACAAAAAAAAGATTGGACACTGATCCGGCAAGTACTCGCGATTACCCTTAAGTTCTGGGATTAAAGTAATTAGTCCGTCTATTTTGATATAACTGCCAAAATATCTAGTATTATTCAGCGTTTCAATCAGATGCTAGCTGTTAGAGTGAAACAACTTAAGTCAACGGTATGGAAGAGATTAGATGATTGAATGACTCTTATAGCTGAAATCAACTGCCATAGTCCTCTATCAAATAACTTAGAAGGATAAAGGGAAGACTAAATTTTATTGTTATTACCATTTTGTAGTAGATTTTGCACCATACTTACGTTTAAGTTATCTATTGTAACTAAAATGGTAATATCAGCGATAGTTAGATTGTCTCCTGCAACAAACGCTCGCCCCTCAAGCATTGTATTCATCCAACCTAATGCTTCGTTTAACTTCTCTGCATTCTCTTCATTGTACTTTTCCGAATGGAACAGCATAGGAACCTAGAATGAAAACTACACCTTACAAATAGCTTTACAATCGTATTTGAAATCTTGATCCATGATTAGGTAAGATTAGACCTGCATTTTTCTATAGATTGTGACCAAATTAGAATAACAAACTATTTGTGGTGATAAGGTATATACTAATAGAATATTGACTTTGATAACGTTTTGTTTTAAAAATATCTTTATAATCAAATCAGTCCGTAAATGATTTGTGGTAAATTCGCAAACATGTTTCAATTGCCTCGAATTCAGATCGAATGCCGATAAGAGCTACCGCGGTTATGGAGAAAACATTTATTTATAAATACAAGTAGTATAAAAGGCAGAGTATTTCTGGAGGATTTGGAGATAGAGTATGAAGGAAATATATAAATATTAGAACAAACATAAATTAATTCTACCCGACTGCGTAGAATAAGTAAATCTTTTATGGGACAATGTATACGCTTCACAACAAAATCCCAGAAAACATTTAAAATGTATTAATTATTAAGGTTAAAAAAAATATAAAAGAATGTTTGTATGTATTCTTATATGTACATTACTAATTATTTAAATGATAACACATTCGGGAAATTATTTGATCTTTCAAGTGGACTTTCAAAACTTTCAATTTATTGCAAACATTTTTTTTAAAAATGGTAAAAAAAATCAAAATTGTCCCGCCGAGTTTCTTTCGCCGATTCTTCTCATGTCAGTGATTTTTCTTTGACGAACCGGTAGCAGTAGGTTTAGCACACAATAAGTGAGTGTAAAGCTCGTATATAGAATAAAGGTATTTGAATTTGTTGGACGAAATCGTATCCTTCTAACAAAAGAATATTAAGAAATCGCCCGCCACATAGAAATTTAAAGGCGATATTGATTGTTTTTTTAAACAGGAAACTCAAGGGAAATCACTGACTTCACTCCGGATCTACGTGTTCAGGTCTGTTTTTGACAGGTATCCAGAGACCCACACCCATAGTTTGATATTGAACATTAGAGTTCAATTTCTAACATGTTTCTATTCGAAATTTACTTACGTAAAGGTCGAAGTATCGCTTGAACAAAGTGCCCATGTCGAAATACAACCGTTGGTCAACTAGAGCTCTCTGTTTTGGATTTTTTGGGTACATAGAATCATCACGTCCGTATGCGTTCACCAAGTAAGCCATGATTGCCCGACTGGAAAAAAAAAGAAAAGATCTTGAATTCGTATATTATTTATAAATGAAAATTTCATCCTAAAATTTGGTACTAAAATTGCAATCAGTCCTATTATTCAGTTCTATTTATAGTAAAAGTTGCAGTTTGTACTGATGATGAAAAATAAACTAATTAATTAATGTGTAATTTCTGGTTATCAAACACAAATCCTCTAATAAAAAAGATGAAAAAGGTAACAGATCTTTTCACATTATAATGACATACCTATATTTTTTCTTTTTTTTTTATGTGAAAAAGTGGCAAACGAGCTAGCGGTTCACCTGATGTTAAGTGATAACCGCCGCCCATGGACATTTGCAACACCCGTAGGGTTGCAAATGCGTTGCCATCTTTAAATAATGTGGGCCCCGGCTACCTCACCAGACGAAACGCAGAAGTATAACACTTCTACTTTACGCCGGTCTTCTGTGAGGTCGTGTTAATTAATTACCCGGACGGACCTGCCCATTCGTGCAACAGTGAAAACTGTTGCGTGGTCCTCCCACGGTTACATTTAATGGAATAAATTGTAACTGCGGTAAGTATTCGAAACTTCGGGAGTTTAAGTTAACTCAGTAACAATTTTCATCTTTTAGTTTTTTCATAAAATTTATTGAGCACTGATTTTGTGGAGTGTGTTTCGATTAATTTTGAAACTTTAAATCAGTAAAAAAATATACCTACCTTTCCCATAATATAAATCCATTGTCATCCATTGTGGGTATAGTATGTTGTGGATTCATCTAAAATTAAAAAATAATAACAGTGTATTTAAATGAAATTCATATAAAATACCTAAAAATAATGTTTTTGACAATGAACCGTCATGAGGGATCGCAAAATACTTCAATTCGCTTACAACCTGTATCATAAGAGTTTTGCCGAGCCGTAATATTACGGTCATAATTTTTCCGACGACGCTATTTTTTTAACGTGACAAACAACGCTATGTAATTCAATGACACCACATAGTTTCTATCTTCAACATGCTGCATTATGTTGATGACAAAATCCTGTGTTACCTTTGAACGTCAATCATCCATTTTAATAAAGAGAGCTGCATCATGATGAACATCACATTGCTAGAAGGAGTAGGGTGTATTTAAAATACGCTAAAAACCGCATGAACATCGTTGTATCAACTACAAAATAAACCTCTAGGTTTTAAATGAAACCGCATTTAGGTCAATAGAGTAAAATGCCTCCTAGCCAGATATCGCGACACTAGCTGTACTATTTAGTATAAAGTCATAAAACGTAATTGAATGAATTGGAATTTTGAGGACAACATTTATTTATTTATTTATTTATTTAAAAACGTTTTGCACATAAAACGTACAATGGCGGACTTAACACCGTTAGGTTTTCTCTACCAGTCAACCGACAAATAAGATAAATCTACAGAGTTTTTCTTTCCCCATGTTTCCCATAACTGCTTTTAACTCTTTCTTAAAATTAAAAACAAAAAATAATAAGTAATAATAATAAAAAAATTGAACTGTCGGTGGTAGGTACAGATACTACGCTGTTGAAATGGACAGTTTTTCGCCGCGATATACATGAAGCGGCGTAAACAAAATTTCATACATCGGCATTTCAACTGATGAGTTGATCAGCCGGAAACCTTTCCTAGGTTGAACAAGTTTCTTAGACAGCAACTGCGGTTTGTTGAGAGCTATCACCTAATATCGATAGAGACGCACGCACGTTTACTTATAACAAACACACGGACAGACGAACAAGAGAGTGATCTTATAAGGGTTCCTTTTGGTGTACGGAACCCTATTAACCGTTTCCTAGTTAAACCCCTTAATTTAAATCCAAATAAAAATCTGTCTTCTCCGTTAACCAAGATTTGAGAGCATTACGTCACCGACCTTTAGATACTCAGGCGTCTTATGTGCACCCTCCATTATGTTAGTTAGGACCAAATCCAGTTCCAGACCCAAAACTCTTGCCGTCAGGAGGACCGCTCGGCACGGTGGTGACGGGGGTAGGTAGTACAGCTTGATTGGCTTGCTCGGCATTTTGTTGCTCTTGGAACGAGCTGCGGCGTTGCTGAAAATATAGAGGTTTTTTTGTAAGTAATCAAGAAAACTACTAGCTTGTACTCTCAGTATCACCGTTTTTTTTTATTTATTTTATGTGAGAAGGTGGTAAGCGAGCTGACGGTTCACCTGATGTTGAGTGAGAACCGCCGCTCATGGACGTTAGCAAAAACCATAGGGTTGCAGATGCGTTGCTCCCTATAATAAAGTGCGCCCCGGCTACCTCACTCACCAGACGAAACGCAGAAGTATAAAACTTCCACTTCACTCTGGTCTTCTGTGAGTACGTGGTACTTCCCCGAAGGGCCTGCCCATTCGTGCAACAGCGAACTGTTGCGTGGCCCAACCACAGTTAAAGGTTCACAGCTACGGGATAGAATGAAGTTAACTCCCATAGAATCTATAGCGGTTGCAAAGTGATAAGGGAAGACACACAGTGACACAAAGGCATTTTTACACTTTACGGGATATAATGAAGTTAACTCCCATTTTTAACAATGTTAACTAGCGGTTGTGCTATGGATACTAGATAACTCATAAATATACTTAAACGTATTTTCTTTTGTAAATAAACATAAATTTTAGATATATAAAAAACACCCAGACAGTAGAAAAAATTATATTCATCACACAATATTTTTCCCAGTAACACAATCACTTACCACACCGCGTAACGTCGATACAGCTATAATACACTATAATATACTATAATATACTATAGCTGGGGCCCACTTTATTAAAATCACACAATATTTTTCCAGTACATGGGGATTGAACGGAACCGCCAGCTCTTTTGCCACTTAAAAGAGCAAAAAATTACGTGAAACGTCGAGCAAGCAGGTCGTTCACCTGACGTTAAGTGACCGCCCCTCATGGAAATCTACAACACCCGATGGCTGGCAGATGCGACAACAACCTTTAAAAAGTGGGTGGCTACCTACTCACCAGAAGAAACGCGAAATGATAATACTCCTATTTCACGCTAGTCTTCTGTCAGACCGTGGTACTTCCCCGGACGTCTGCCTATTCGTGCAACAGCAAAAGTGTGGCCCTACCACAGGTACTTGTTTTGTTTTAAATGCCATTTTTTCATTTCACTTTTCACAAAACACTCGACTTAGTCATCAAATCGTTAAATTCTTAACTGCAAAGTGCGAATTTTCAACTTTTCACGCATACATTAACGTCATTTATTAAATTGGGCCATAACAATGTATTGTTGATTGTATTAATAGGGTTACTAGGGCTCCAAAAAATTCTCGATTCGCTAAGCATTGGTGAAACAATTAGCAACACAATTCTCATTATACCAATCACTTTCTATTTCATTAGAACGGGCAGTGTTGAAAATCTGCCAATATACTTTCCATTTCTTAACGGGTAAGGCACAAATCAATTTGTATTACTAAGCAAATAAATTATCTTAATAAAAGAGATATCTATTTACATATTATTATTAATAAGTATCAGTTGCCTCCAATTAAGTAATCAGATATAATTGAAATAAATAAAATAAAAATAAGTAAAAGAACGAAACGAACGAGAAAGTTGATGAGGCCGTAGAAAAAAAAGTAACAGCCTATACGTGTCCCACAGCTGGGCAACGGCCTCTGTATAAAGGATATTAGGATCTAGTCCACCACGCAACCCGACTGCGGATTGGCAGACTTCACATGTCGTCGAAATATATTTTTTTATTATCTCGAAAATATACAGGATTCTTCACGATGTTTTCCTTCATCGCCGAGCACGTGATGAGTGAGCACTTATAATTGTAATTAACACTTATTGGTGCCGGCACCGGGAATTAAAGTCAGGTTTCTCGAGTACATTGAATTCAAAGCAAGCGCCCGGAAACTGAGGTATCACTGCTCGGTGGCAATTGGTTTTGTCTTTTTAAGTAAAAATAATACTCACCCGTTAACAAATAACACAAGTATTATAGTGAAGAAATTGATTCCAAACTTCATTTTGATGCGGATTTGCTGTGGGTAAATTTCTACAATTTAAAAAATTAATTTCAATATCTTTTGTAATCCAAACTATCATTTACTTTATTTGTAAAATAATGTAAAGTAATTTGTAAATTAAGGTTTATGCTTTTTAATAGATTTAGGTTATTTGTTTCGGCAGTAGCAGTACGGTAGTTATGTTGGAAACATTTGTTCATATTGTACAAAAACTTGATATAGAACATTCTGAACAACAGTTTAAAAAAAAACAAAATCGGCAATAATTAACATTTAACGAAGTATGTCGTTGTAGGTGTGATCATTAAGAATGATATAAGTCACAATTTAGCTTTACTATACACACTGTACTAAACATGTACTTAGGCTTATGAATAAAAAATTATCCAAACATATTTATAGAGTAAATATATGACTAACGTGGATCAGTTACAAGTTTTTAAATAAGCGAAACCACAAGACAAAGTAACAACAATATTCAGTCAGACGATCACTAACAGGTATCTAATGCTCGTAAACCCATTTATACCCAATGTAATGAGTGTGGATTATTGTTGTCGCAAATAATGTTATGGTGGCAACATCAAGGTTGGCTTGGTCACCACTACAAAGCGATGGGCGGGTGAAACAATTATTTATTATGACGTTGCTGAAATTACCACCAAAACAGCTTCGCTAAAAGTTACATCAACGCTTGTTCAATTTAACATGGTTATAGAGATTAGTATAGACAGGACTTATACTGAAAACTAGTCTTCTTTACTGAAATCTTAAAAATGATTCCTATATAATTATATTTCCTGAATATCTAAATAGCGACAGAGCATCGTTTTCTTATTAATGTAAGCTCGTGCCTGATCGAGAAATCATGTGCACATTCTTATACAGATGATGAAGTAAAAATTTTTTTTCCTCCTTCCCCAAATATACAACCTATTAACATGCCGAAGTCTCACAACTTAAATGCGGATTTGTTCCACGGTAAATTATAATAAAATAGTCCAGTGGTCAAGATATTCCGTTAGTGGATTTCTTATAAAGAAACTAACAGCAGTAGAGAATATGATATCGCTTGTTTGGAAACGGCCTTAAAAAAAGAAATACATACCGTACTTCTTTTTTTAAGGCCGTTTCCATTAGAAAATAAGCATTTCCCTTGAGACGCCTGTCACTAATTTGTTACAAAACTTTGTCACATTTTATCTGAAGTAAAATATAAAAGATATCCTCACATACTTTATAATAAAACCGACCTTTTTTGTAATATTTTTTTAAATCATTTTTTTTTGTAAATAACTCAATTTTATAACATTGATATATAACATAATATAAAACTGACATAAACAGGTCTGAAAAGACATTAAAATGTAACGAAAGATGGTAGGTATCTTTCGTCAAATTATTCAATCAATCTTTCGTCAATATATTACGCTTTTACGATATCATTCGCGTAAAATTCCATCTGTATATAATCCCCATTAAAATAGAATAAACACTTGTGCTACAAGAAAATAAAATTTGTGTTAAACTGTGCTGTTGTCAAAAGCAAGATTGTTTAAATAAATCAGAATCCTATTTATTACGAACGCCAAATGTGTTGTTTCTATTATGGACTATTATAGTAATTACACATCATATGAACACCAAAGTTTTAATTCTACGAAACATAAATACGTAGGAAATATACGTCGATGCTTGCAGTATACTCAGAATACCCCGTCTGGAATTGGTCGAGGAAGTGTTTAAAGTTGGAAAAGAATTTGAGAATTTTTAAGTAGGTATGTCATAATAAAGTGAAAAACAAATTTGTAAACAATTATAATACACGCAATCTTGCAATTCGCTAATAATAAAAACCTAACTACTAAAAAAAGGTATTTGAAACTTGCTTTTATTACGGCTATCAATTATCCAGGTTACAATCAAGCAGAATTATCTCGTGATACGATTTTCTCAAAATTACACATCACTACCGCTAAACCATTTATAATCGCTACTATTACAGTACTGCAATATACAATTTCGTTCAAGGCTATATATTCATATGTGACCCTGTACAAAATTTATCAAATTCACGACACTCATTTCTATAAATGTAAGTTCAAGATAATTGACAGAAATTTTTTATAAAATTTACTAGGTAGGTAAGCGCTTAGATTTTACTAAGAATTTTTAGATTATAGCTACTAAGTAGGGTAAGGTGACCGTGTAATCAGTAGGGTTTGTTCAGCCGTGGGATACTGTCTGCTTTACGGTAAAAACGAAATCATAAAACATTTACTAACGGTATGGAATAGTAATATCGAATAAAACCAACAAAAAAATATTAAAAAGATTTTTGCGTAAAGGATAAAGTTCATTGAGTTATAATTACTACATCATTTTTCATTGATCTCATAATTTAGAGGGTTCTAGTTTCGTAACATACATAAAAATCATTCGGAAATTTTTAAGTGCTTATTTTTATTTCTGATTCCCAGATTCATTTTTATACATACATGCGCGAATGTGTGAATAATCCTTAGTTAAAACCATATATAAGACATATATACTGAAATACATATATAAATATATGAATACTGGTTAAAACAGAGGCACATAAAAGATGCAAAGTTTCAATTGTTTTTACTTTTTTAGCGGCCTGATAAACGTAATAACAAAAAGTGTGAATATCGCCATGGCCTCCTTTTTTATGTTTTATCACCATTAATGAAGACAGCTGTTGACGTTGAGGAAATCCTGGACGAGAGAGCTATGCGTCCGTATGCAGTGCAGGATGACGCCAGTCAATGACCTCGGCGCCATATTGGAGGTCAAACAGATGTACTCAATGTTAGAGTGACTAATGAGTCCTTTAGTCCACTTTGAATCCTAACTTTTTCATATCCTTAAGTGTTTCTTGTACAAGGATACTTCTTAAGCATTGATACCACAATTTGTTATAAAATATTTTGAAGAACTGTTTTATGCATTGCATTTATGATTGATTGTTTATCTTTTTTTTTTTTCAAAATAATTTTATACCTCGAATGTTTTATTCAATTACAAAATTATCTAAAAGAAATAACATATTGGACTTCTAAATATTGTGAAAATTACATAGAACCAAATAACTTTCCCAAACATTAATGTGTTGTACCCAGTGTAGAGATCCACTGTCCAAACGAGGGTGTGTCTAATAAATTATTTATTAACAAACACTTAGACGATTACATAATATGGCAAATCTGTAATATGAAGAGTAAAAACAGCATATCCTAATCCTTCACTTATCATCCAACGCTTCAACCGTTGACGCACTGCTGGCGTTGTCGTGCTGTCTCTCATCGGCTTGATCTGATTCCTTATCGGCCCCTATCTTTCTCGCTGTGACATCGGACACGTCGGTTTTTATCGAATTGATTCGGCCACGGCTCTCCCCCTCGTTCTGCTGCGTCTCGCCTTGCGTGATCTTAACCTTTTTGCTCTTACTATTGCCCATTTCGCGTGATTGATCCACTCAATCCCATGCAGAACTGCTTCGCAACACTACTACTGCGACGGCGCGACACGGACGGTGACAGCTTTCGGTTTCTTATTATTAAAACTCCTCCATCGCTGGCTGACGTAATGCCGATAAAAATGTAACGCGCTTGGTGAAAACGGGACTGCAACTGGCGCGAAGACACTTTGTTAATGCATATAAACATAGTAATCATGAAACAAGATAAGGCGACAATGACACATTGCCCGTGCAAACGCTACAGTGACCGGATGCTTGCTTGACATTCGGTTACCCGACGGGTCCAGATGTTTCATATCATTAACGCCATTCCAATTTTAAAACTACACGGGAAATAAAATAATGGAACATTTCTGTGAGACTTCATTACTAAAATATGGAATTACGGATAAATAATAGAGCGCTTGCTTACCGATGACTAATATGTTCTACAGTTGAACAATATGTTTGTGTCAGAGGCATACACACCGTGTGATTCACCATATGACGCATTTCTTCCATAAAATATTAAATAAGCGAGGTCGGAAATAGCTCTCTGGTGCAAGTTTAATTTTGTAATGAAACGTTTGGTTCTTTTTCGTCCCGATCGTCGTAAATTCGCTGGTTTAGAATAGTCTACGTTAACGAGTAGTTAGAGTTGTCTACGGTAAGTAACCTATAGTTTTTAAAATCTTTGTGACCTATGGAGCTTAAATAGTTGCAAGAACTGGATGAGTGGGAGCTCAAATGTGGAGCTTGAAAGAAGCTCCTAACAAAGTATGCAATCCCACAGTTAAGACAGACAATTAATTAATAGTTATAGCTAGACTATAGACATGTCAGTAAGTCTAGTATAACATGATAGACTAGTGTAACTGGTAAAGTAAGACGATTACTACGTTTTAGTACCTACATTTTTATTAGAAGTCATCGCAGACTCTAAATTTTCACTCATACTTTGGCAAATAGGATATTAAATCGTTATTGTCTACATAATAATATACTTAACAATTTGCACGCAGACAAGCGTTGTATCAACTGGTGCAAAAATAGTGTAAACATAATGTTAGATTGATTTTCCTTTTTTAATTTGAGATCACATGACTATTTATTTATTTTTTACGTGAGAAGGTGCAAGAGAGTTGGCGGTTCACCTGATGTTAAGTGATAACCGCCGCCCATGGACATTTGCAACGACCGTAAGGTTGTAGAAGCGTTGCCACCTATTATTAAATTGAGTTCTGGTCACCTCACTCACCAGACGAAACGCAGAAGTTTAACACTACCCCTTCATGTCGGTCTTCTGTTGGTCATGGTACTTACCCGAACGGACCTGTCTGTTTGACTCCTTTGCTGTACGCATTACGAAAGAGGCGAACCTCTTCATTCAAAGGGGTGGAATGTCAACAATAAAAGTATAGAGCAGTGCAGAGCGTCTAGTTGTCCGATGATGGAAAGGGGAGGGGAAATTAAATTATGCAATTCCTGTGCACATTCCCGAATGTAGAACACCGAAGGAATGATACGCATATGCTCGAGACTGGGCAGACTGGGTCCTACCAGGTTAGGGTCGATAATAAGTCTGTTTGCAACGCCTCTTCAGAATCCTAGATCTACTAGATTATGCTTGATAGCTTAATTTTCAAAGTTTTCATTTTCATTTTAAAGGTGATTTTATGGGGAAATTACTTAAATTACGATATCCAATAAATTATATGATAATAGCACACAAATACATGCATTACATTTTTCCCTGTTAGTTCTCAACGTTTGTAAAGTCTCACCAGCCTTTAAATTCATTGTTACGCCGTCAATCGCAGTGTTGTCTATAATATAACTAAAAGTATAACAAACATCGAGAAACGCTTTGTATACTCTGATCGACTTAAAGCTTAAAACGCGTTGTTGATGTCGACTGTAATGATACAATGGCTTTAATATCATGGGTCGTGGCTGTATTCTAGTAATTTGCTAATCAGGCCACAAGTATCGAAATTAAAGATCGTTAAGGTTGAATTTAACGACATGTGTATTACTGTTGTTGCGCCGCCAGCACACGCATACTGCACTGTTCACAAAACAATTTTGTTTTGTACGCAGTAATGATAACGGCGGAATATGAAATTGTTTACGTCTATTATCTGTCGATGATAGCCGAGAATTGTTGACAATTGCATAAAAATAAATTATTGCAAATATGTCAATTGTTGTCAAACTTTATGTCTATAAGACTTCAATAATAAAGTCATCTAATTTATTTATCTGTCGTAAGCTGTAAGCGACTTTGCCCAAACAAATTACTAGTAGCCAAACATGCCAGATAAAAGCATTCCATGAACTTATTAAAATAGACAAAAACAAGTAAAAATCAGATAAAAACTGTTTAAGCAGACTGCATCATCATCATCTATCGTTCATCCCAAAATGGTCTGATTTATTTAGGAGAACATAAATACGTTCCACAGTTACTAATTAAAGGAAGTATTGACTTTTAGTACTTTGCTAAATAGATAACAAGGTACTAATTTGAAGTATGACTTAGATGTAGGAAGTGAATAACGGTCCTTACAATATTTTTTTTACAGTAATGAAATTGATATCTATATATATTTAGTTCAGAAATACTTATAATTCGTTGAACATATTGCGGATCATCCTGCATCGTTGCGAAGGTACTTTTAAGGCCAAAATCTGCACCGAAACCAAATTTCAATTTCGGAAAATGAAACTTGCATAAGAGATTATGCCTTTATTTTTTTTTATTTATTCAATCAGACTGACATTGACATGGAGATAACTTATACAAAACAAAATTATCATTTTCTCTTGCTCGTTCGGGTACCAAAAACAAAACACCTACTTACCTACTAAGTACGACGGGAATAATACATTTTGATGCAAATAATACTTGAGTCAAATGTTTAAAAAAGATTTCATTGAAACTTATTCCATAACTTTGATTATCAGTTAGTTATCTACTTATATTCATAATGAAAAAAATGTAATATATTATCAGTTTGAAATAGGAATTTTTGTCTCGTAAATTGTTTCTTCTGTCGGAATAAATGTGACTAGCTTTAAGCAATTGTTCACTGGAAGCATTGGTCGGTGCAAAAAAGCAATTTAAATTTAGACCATTATATAATCAATTGATTTGCCACCAAAATTTAAATTGGAAGAAGTATCTATCACCACATACAAAAATAAAGTCATTAAAACATTTTGCGGACAAAATTATACATTTAAGCAGCACCTTACTCTAATCTTATCTAATCGAACAATACGAATTACCATTTTGATTACTATTTGTTATTAAAGTCACCGAGCGAAATACATTTCGTAGATAATATCTATAAACTGCGTATGTTATTTTAATTCGAACATCTACGTAGTCAATACTTTTATTTCAAAGCGAGCCTAACAATTTGGAAAGCTATTGTTGATGTTTTGTTAAACAGTTAGAGGGCCCCACAGAAACAACCAGGTAACCGTGCAAACTTTTAAGTTAATAAAAAGTAAAGTTGTTACTTTAAAATATCTCACTCGTTATACTTTATTTAATATTAGGTTATTCGATTGCGGTTCAAATACATTGTATGGGAGGAGAGATTTGCGTCTAGTCGTAAAACCATGAAATATAATAACTAAGACTGAATGTATAACCAGACAAAGAAGAATGTTTATGCATAAACAGGCAAATAATTGCAGATGAACTTCAGGACATTAACATTAAAGTCCGTTGCCCTGGTTTAGTACATTAGCACCGTCATTTAGTTATTTAGTTACGTATATATAGGTATGTGAGAAGATTGTTCAATCTTATCTCATATATAAACGTAGAAAATTTATGGGTAATTGTAATATATACATAGAATATATTACAATATTGTGTGAATAACTATATTTATTCGTAATTTTATCATCTATTAGCAAACATCAGAAGTAGTAGGTAGGAATCAATTATATCAGAATTATCAAATTCGAGAGATAAGACAGTTGGACATAAGCCTGGCACACTGTCTTACAAAAAACATTTATGTGTATGTTAAGATTATTTAACAAAAAAGTTCATTCACCTTTCGTCCCTGAATAGTTAGAGAGGACTGGCATGCTATATAATAACACAATAAACTTATCGTGGTAAGCCTATGGGCATAAAACCTACACAAAGAAGACGAAACTTATTGATACGCATCACTGGAAATGATTTCAAATTAGAAACAATATTTAAGTTCATAGGTTCATCAATAGGTAAGAGTAGCACGCATACACGTCCCACTGGTCGAAACTTGCAAAGTTAGAAATATTTCTAAATAACATCAAATGATTAAACGAACGGAAGCAAAAATTATAGCAAAATCTTTTACTTTATTTGACCTCACTTACTTACCGATGTTGATGTGATTTTAGGTGTTCTGCAACTCATCTGATGAGATGGGTTATCAACTTTAAAACAGTGGGGCACATCACATACCAGATGAAACGCAAAAGTATATAAATACTTTTACTTCACTACTTCATAATTTTTCATTTGAGACATAAAATCTTATTTAAAGGAATTAAACTAGAGAATAATAATGCAATACTAAAAAGATAAAGTATATTAAGAAATTAAGTTTTCATTATATTACTGTAAGTTTTAAGATATTAATAATATGAGGCACGACGTTTTCTAGCTCCCGTGTCTGTCACTTTCTGTATCTTCTGATATTTGTCTATGGCGGTTTTCACGAAGTTGGCGGCGGTGCTAATTTTTTCTAATCGCTCGGGAGTTATGAAAGAACGCATCTCCTCGTGTATGGGGCCGACTCCTTGGAATGTTATCGTGCAAAGGTTGGTGTAGGTGCAAACGCCGACAGTAAGGAGAGAGCCGAGCAAGACGACGAATATGCTGTTGAAAATCCATCCGATAGTCCTGCCCATTAAGCTGACAATGGTCTGCAAATGTCAAACAACGGTTGAGTAACGCACCGCTTCTGTGACCTTATAAAATGTAGTCCCCGAGCGAAATACATAAATACAGTATACAAAAATAGAGAGTTAAAGAAGCTGTCTTATCATAACAGAAATAGATAAAGCCACATTATTTCAATCCTATCCTAATCCTAATTACCTTTCATATATGTACTAGCATAGCCAGTAGTGTAATAAAAATCCTCAAACTATGATGAACTTATAACTAACTTTAATTTCTTAATATATTTGTAAATCGTCTATAAAAATAATCTCGTAAAATGGAAACACAATATTTTTGTTATAAACCAGAACAGTACCGGCCAAATAACTATTTTAATAAGTTCTAATGAAACAGAATTTTAACATCCAAAGCTTACCCTTGAATCCGGAACTTGGCTCCAGATAAGGCCCATGGTTGATGTGTCAGGCTCTAAAAGATAATCACTCAGACTGTTTCCATAAATGTCATAGCTAAAACAATAAAATTAATTTATGACAATAAAAATGGCGAGTGAATACAATAATGGAGAATTCAGTTATAGAACAACAACTTAATAAGCTTCTTTTTTCTCTTCTAATGTCTTCTATCCAGTATTTTTCGTATTCCTATTTCTATTCAATATTAATTACTATACCAACCAATATACTTTAAAAAATTGCTACACACCCATTTCCGTAGCCGTATCCAGGAGCGTAAGGAATATCAGGATACGCTACTTCAGCAGGAGCATGTCCGTAACCATATTCCGGGACAGGCAAATTATCCTTAAAACAAAATACCATTAGACGATTAAAATAAAATACACGCGATTTTTTCAACTTAACAAAGCCTTCTAATCATTTTCAATAATGATGTATGGTGTTTTATAATATCATTAACAATTTGTCCTTATATAAAACTTTATACATAATATCGCCATAAGAAATATCTGAACATGAATATAACGAATTGTTTAACTTTTTCCAGCTTTCTTTTGTTTAAATTACATAAAGCCTATGATATTAATGTAAGCAATTTTGGAATCGGTCAAGTACTTTCAGAGACAACTTTCATATACAGTAAGTACAGTTCTAAATAGGTACAAGTTAATAAAGATGACAACAATAAACTTACAACTCTATTAACTTCGGTGGAGCCAGCCCCAGGTTCATCGGCGAGCATATCATGCTTCACGTAAGCCCCGTGAGCACTGACAGGTTCTATCCTCGCTCTACCTTCGTTCCTGTATTCCTCTCCTCTATACACTGGATGTTCCTTTTCTTTTTTCTGTCCATTGTTAAAAATGGGTCGTGTTTCAACGGTGTCGCTTTCAACGCTAGGTTTGAAAGTCGCTTGTTTCTCAAGCAAAGTGTAAGACGATGGAATTTCAGCTGACAAGACTGCGTGTGTGCAAATGGTCGCTAATAATACCGCTGACAACTTATACATCTAGAATGATTATTATGTTAGTACAAAGTATATTTCAGACGAATTTCAGAAGTTCATTAAAATATTCAATACTTACCTTGGCTGTTTCGAAGTGCACTCAACAGGACCGAAAAAGTTAATGTGCTTTTCGGCGGTTTTCTTTTCTATTTATAGTGGCTTCGTCCTTTTTTAACTTGACGGTTCCCGAAGGTTATCTCCAGGACATTGTTTTGCAAAAGATACACAATAACCGTGAGAAGATAAGTAATATTCGTCAAAGCATCGGAATGTGCAACGGGAACAAATGCATTAGGGAATTGTTTCGATATATGTAACAAAAGCAGCCCAAACATTTCATTTTGAGTGTTGGGATTGACAATAGAAAATGATTCACTGAATAGCGTAGCCACAGCCATAAATATTTTACGAAATTAAAAAAGCTTACCAAACCTATGCTTTATCGCGAAGGCATCAATAGCATTTGAACGCTTTTAAAAAAATCAACATGAACGGTTATAAATTGATAACCAAAACATTAAAAGCTTTCACTGATTTCCTTTCCGTTCAAAAAATTATAGGTATGTAACATTGAAGAACTTACTAAATTAATAATTACAATCAGAAAACTTATTTATTAACTAATTTTATCGCTACCTGACTTGTGCACCGGTCTTGTGATCTTGCCATCATCCATTGTGCGTTGTGTTGTGGGTTCTATTCGTAATTCTTGCAATTGTGAGTGTTCTTTGCGCTCTTGATTTTCATGTTTGCAACACGTTTCATGTCTGGTGCCGAAATGGAATGACTCCATCATTTTTTTAAGACGAATTACTTTTATTATTTTCTGTGTCTTTGTGTCTGACTTTGAATGCAAGTGAACAAATTCAGAGAAGATTATGAATACTATTTAGGACTGATTAGCGTTCAAACTTCTTTATAAATGAGTGACTCGAATTCGTTGAATTTTTGTTAAAAATGACACGAAAAGCAACCTAATCGATTGGAAAGTTTAATAATCATTGAATAAATATAGTACACAGCGCAATATTACTCATTGTTGAGAATTGTAGCCTGATCTTTTAATTCATCCATCGATTCCTAAAATACGAAAATTAATCACAAAATGATAAGACTTTCGTAGATTACTTTTCAAATTTAATAAAAATAAGGCTAATTAATTTTATATGTATTTTTATATTTGAGGTTGTTTTTTGTAATCTGTGTTGAAGGCATGCAGTACATTATGCTGTAGCCGGGATATGTAGCTCATTCGGGAAGAACTACAGCCTCAAGGTCTGGCGTCAAGATCATTACCTATATACGTATAATATTACGTTTCATCTGGTGGGTGAGTGAGGTAACTGGGTTCTACTCTTTTAAGTAAGCATCGCATACGCAAGCCGAAAGGTATAGACGTCTATGGGCGGCGGTAATTACATAATATTAGGTGAACCGACTACTCGCTTACAAACTTTTTAATTAAAGAAAAGTGGTGTAAACCGCCTGCATGTTTTCTCACGGCTTTATGAGAAAGAGGACTTCGATACGGAGTAATAATAAATTGATATTGTTGATTTTCAATCAGAAGCAAAACGTAAACGGCTCGAGACCATCATCTGATCGATACAGAGTATATTCAACCCCGATTGTGCCAAGTTGAGTCGTATTTATACGTATTTATTATTCGCATAAGAACCATTTTAATGTTAAATTAATAAAAAAAGAGATAGTAAAGATTATCCTCTACGAGTGTTGGTCTGCGATGATCGAAAAATCCATTAACATTTTTACTAAGTAACATATTTATAAAAATACTTCCAACCATATTTTCTTTAAGTCTCTATTTATTCTGACGAAAATCAAATTTAAAAGATGACGTTCACGTTGATTTATACAGTTAGTTGTTTATATAATTATACATTTTTGTTTTTGAATGCAATCCAAACAACATAATTTTTTTTTTAAAGAAAATCAAAACCGACTTGAAAGACCTCGCTCTGTATTCATTTATAATTGATGAGTTCCTTATGTATCTCCGGAGCCCAATATCCAATACCAATGAATTTATTTATTAATTAATATGTGAGACCACATGGGAATTACCAGCTTTCAAATAAAAAAAGAACCATCAAAAAATACAGTCGAGTGGAGAACTTCCTCGTTTTTGAAGTCAGTTGAAAACGGACATAGTTTATTACTAAAAAATAAAAAATATTACTTAGTATATTTGTAGAAGGAACATGGAAACGTAAAACAAAACCAACAACAGTCCGGTAGCCGGATAAAACATTTATTCTACAAATAAAAATATCGCATGGCATATTGACACAAGTACAGCCGAACACGCGACACTTGTTTAAATTTGGAAGTGTTCAAAATTTTTCTAGGTGAAGGACTCTATTGATTTTTTTACTTTTTATGTTATAAAGGTGATAAAATTTCAATCCTGGCTGAAAAATGTGGCTGTAATTTCATGTATGCTCAACTTAAAAAAATATTTATTTTATTAGAATAAAATAAAAATATTATTCAGAATCAGTTGCCTTTGAGACTTTGAGATCACCGGGTATACAAACTATTAACAAGGTTTAACCTTTTATTATTAGATTTGGGCGACAGTTATTAAAAAGATTTAACACAGTCATTAAAAATAAACATTTCTTTTTCCACTAAGACTAAACCGGAGGAAGCAAAGAACGACAATAATACATTACATCTTTGTCAAATTATCTAAATTTGAAGAGAAAAATCCAGCCGAAGTATAAAATTAAAAATCATAACGGTTAGTGTTCTGCGTTCTAAAACTACCTAACATATTTTAGAAGATTTTGTCACGAAAAATTGTATTCTTCCGAGATATTTGTTACCTGATTACTCCTCTAAGAAAAAAGCAATTAAGATTCCTTTATAATCTTATCAGGTTTCTTGTCAAAGAGTCCGTCATTTTACTTTTAGTCATCTGGCAAAAGAAGATGAACGTGTTTTATGTTATAATTATAAAATTTTATATTGAAGTTATACTTCTTTTGGCGCGTTAGGGAAAAATGATGAGGGTAAATTTTTACGATGCGCGCGCACACCGTCACGAAAAACCGACACCCTGAAGTTAGCTAGACATCTCTACGTATGTTTGCGTGAGAACTGACAACTGTATTCACGATATCTATTTTGTGATATTTAAATAAACTTTATTTAACTACCTAGATAAGGCGTTATAATAAAACTTTCAATGTATTAAATACCTTTTTTCTATTGTCACTGTCGTATCTTTCGCCTTATTCTACAAACGTAGAATAAGGCGAAAGATAAAATTTCAGAAAAGATTTTTATCTCCTTACGCCAAAGAAGTATAACTTCTAACGCATGTACATAAGTACACACACACTTTTTTATTTTTGATAATGAAGCATCAAATCGCCTTATTTGAAGAACAATCAAAAATTTTTTTGAAAAAAATTTTAATACATTTTATTTGAATATCTTTAATGATCTCGTTAACTTTCTACGCAAATATTATTATTTAAAGGCATAATAATTCTCCATAACACTTACCGTTTAATATACTCCCAAAACAACTTTATTTCCTCCTCAAAACTAACGTTCATCATAAAAATAGGAGAGACATGCGAATTACAACTGTTTTATTTGTTATGCTCGGTTCATTATTTTCTACGTGTTAACTTATAAACAGAGTATTAACGCGGTTTATCAACACGGTTTGATCAGCGCGTGTTCAAATGTTAACTGCTGGCCGCCACTTCAGCCCTTGTCCTAATCGGATATATCTACACATTGTATGTTATATACGCTAGCAATTCAGGGCTAAATGATCAATCGATCGCCACATAATAAAACTGTGCCCGATGAAAGGTCCATCAGTTAACTTATTATTTTTATACATAGATACTTTCTATATTACCTACATCTGCAATTTCTCAAATGCTTAAAACAGAATATATTAGTAATGGAGTCGTTTTACAAAGCCTTCATCTCGAAACGTAAAAACGGCTACTTGGAATATCTCGAGTTAGTAATTAAATCAATGTATAGAGTTATTAATTATGTAATTACTGTTGATAACAGTTGAAAGTTAATACGTAGGCTAAAATAAGACTATTATACCTCTACTGTATGTTATATTGTAAACTGATATTTTGGAAAAAGAGCAACTGTTGAGTTTCTTGCCGGTCTCTTCTCAACAGAAACTGTTTTCCGAACCGATGATACCTTACTTACCTTATATTCCTAACTGCTGCCCGCGCCTTTGTCTGCATAGAATAGGCTGAAGGCGTAACATTCAGATAGAAAGACAGATATACATAAAAATATGTATATAAATTATAGCCTATGTGTTATTCTGATGTATATTATTGTAAAGCTTCATTAAAATCCATTCATTAGTATTTGCGTGAAAGAGTTACAAACATCTATGCATACATACAAACTTTCGTCACAGCCTCTCGATGCATTTTGGAACATTTGCTAAAGGAACACGAGTAGTTATCTTTTTTTTGTTTCCGTTATCAGTGAGAGAGAAATCCAGAATCTATAATATTTAATGGGCATATCATGCACTCAAACTTTGCTGGTTTCGTTATTTTAAGCAAAAGATTAAAACCTGTGACTGAGCCATCTACGAAGACAGATGGCCCCTTCAGCAATTTAACCTTTTATTTTATCAACAAAATTTGGCAAGAGAGCAGGCCTTCCCTTGATTTTATGTGATTACCGCCTCGCATGGACATCTACAACATCTGACGCCTTGTAGAGGCGTTGCTAACTATTAAAAAAGTGGGCCCCGGTTACTTAGCTCATCACACGCAACGAAAAATTATATGCTTCCACTTTACGCCGGCCTTCTGAGAGGCCGTCATGCTTCCCTGGAAGAGTTTGCCCATTCGTGAAACAAATCCAGCAGATTGCTGTATCTTGTATCTTGTATTAACTGATGTTTGTGCTTTCAGTCCCGAGACTATTAAAGCTTCATCTGACGCTGAACCGGTGGGCTAGCCAGAACCCACGAGTTTGGGCCCTGCGCTGTGGGTAGGGCCGCGCATGTGCTCATGCGTGCGTCTAACTACGGCATGTCATCCAAGGGCCATCGAGGTTGTGGTGCGGACCGAGACCCCGATGGCCGTCGACTTTGTTTTAAGCTAATCGGTGGCTAGGGGTGAGTGAGAACCGCCCTGGAACACGGGTGTACGTTTGTGTAAGCGTTGTGTTGGTCTCGCCGTGCTCGGAGGCGTGGGTGAACTATTGTGTTTGTTGTTACACTAGCTGTGGGTGTAGTGTTATCCGGCGGGACCACCGACGGTGGATCCGTCGTATCTAAGTCCCCTTCCTCGACCGGGTCGATGAGGACGTTTCGCGGGCGACGCTTGTTGAAGTTCGCGTATGTGTCGGGTTGGTAATTTGCTGCGCTTACCACCAGAGGGTTGGGATTTGAGAACCATTTGGTCAGGTCTTTAAAATATTCGCGAATCGTCGGGAGTATGCAATCGCTGTGCAAGTCGACGTTGCGTTGATACCACTGCGCACTGGTTGCGCGGCGGATGATTTTATTTTGTACTATTTGCAGCTTGTACAAGCGAGTATGCGAAGGTTATGCATGCATAGGACATAATAGGTCGTACGCAAGTCTTATATAACAATAATTTGTGCTTTAAGAGCATTTTACTTGTAGCGTTAGTTAAGTTGTGTAGTCGGCCGGAGACGAACGCGGCTCTATTACGAATGTTATTAATGTGCGTATAAAATGACATACGCGAGTCGAAAGTGACTCCTAAGTATTTGACCTTTTTCTCCCAGGGGAGCGGTTGACCATAAAGGGATATTTGCCCCAACTTTCTGCATTAGGTTGCTATGCTACATCCAAGGCTGTAGCACAAAGAGCACTAGGCATATAGATATATTAATTAAAGTGAGTTTTATTTTTTACTTTTGATGATTGCCTTTTCCTTGATCCAAATTAGGAAACTTGCACAGTTCCGTCGGAATCATTGTTTTAACTATGACTATTGATTAAACTTGATTAATGATTTTTTTCTCATTTCTAAAAACTTTTTTAATAGTGAAAAAATATTAAAAATGCATGACTATGCATACTTTTTGACATAAAAGTTATGAAGAAATAAATTGATTCTTGTCACTTATTGAGGTAATATAATCAAAGAAAAACGTGACTAACTACAGTCTACTCTTTGGCTAGATGCAATAAAAATGTCTATAAAAAAATTGGAAAAGGAAGTTCAATCAGGCTTGATCGCTGCCACAAAAATAAAAAATTACGAAAGAGCTATTGAAGAACTGGTAAACATTTAACCTAAAATATATTTTTATTATTGTATATTGTATACTAACATATAAAAATACACTTGTGCCAATCTAACAGTGTCTAATGTCTACACCAATAATATTATACGAACGAAGTGATATACCCTAGCGCTTCGAAACTGAAGCACTCAAATCACGCCAATTGGTGTGTCTGTCACAATCAATTATATGCCGTTTATTGTTAAGCGGAATTTTAAACACTGCGCAATATGGACAAGCAACATCTGTATTAAAACATCACCGGTTTGGTCTATACTGTATAGAGGTGGTCCTTCTCTAGCTGTAAAACTCTTATTCTACTTGTTTTATTTTCAGGTATACAATTCACTAGACTCAGGCTCCTCTTCTATTGCCATTCGAATTAATATTCATGACAGTTTTATACAAGTAATTGACAATGGATCTGGAATCAGTAAAAGTGATATTAATCTACTTGGTCAAAGATACGCAACTAGTAAAGCTGTTGATGCGAGTCTACATAAAAGTGTACCAAATAAATATTATGGTTTTCGTGGTGAATCTCTTGCCAACATTATTCAAATATCAAAGAATGTTAAAATAATAACCAGGTATGAAAAAAGTAAAGGAACATGGATAAAATGTTTCTACAAAGGCCAGCATAAAAATAGTTATTTAATTGGAATGAGACCCTCCAAAGGAACAACTGTATGTTATATACCTATAATTTATAAATCTTTATATGAAATTTTCAATTTTTAAAACTATTGGTACTTACATATTAAGAAAATATTAATTTAAAACATAAAAAAGTAGTCAAGTTAACAGAAAATTCATAAATCAATATTATAAATAAAACTAACTTTCTTTTTAGGTAGAAATCAAAGGATTTCTTTACAATTCACATATTCAGACAAAGGAAATCAATAATTTTGCTGAATTACAAAGCATTAAGGTATTCTTACAACAACTGTCCTTAGTAAAAACAAATATTTCAATGAGCTTAAGAGATAATACTAGAAATGAGATAATATTTGCAGCACATAAAAACAGAGATATTTATGAAACACTATCTTTGTTGTTTGGAATAAATAAAATTGATGTACAAGAATTACAGGTAGAAAAGAATCAATATAAAATAAAAGGATTTGTTGGGAAAAATGAAACTCCACCAATTACTTGTAAATGGTTATATTTAAATGACCGGTTTATTTATACAAGTGCAATCCATGGTATTGTAAATAAAAATTTTATGAAGAGCAGTGCATTTTATAAGAAAAGAAGAATTAATGTAATTACATAAATTACTGAATAGTTTTTATTTGAATCATCATTAAGATCATTACAAATAAAGTTGTGTATATGTTGCATAGATGATAGAGTATATAAGCTTTTATTAGGAATGTGGATTAAAATAATAAATTATATAAATAATAATAATAAAATACATAGTGCTTATTATTAGCACCTAATCAATTATAAGCCAAATGGAGTACAAAGATACAGTTAGTCTTAAGGATAATTTCTACCAGGCTCTAATATGAGTTTCTTTTTTCATAAAAAAATATTATCTATATTTTTTGACTAGTTTGTAGATATTTTTATATATTAAACAATTGTTTGTATCTTTCAGAATGATTTAGAGGGAATTAATAAAGCCATGGAAGTTCCTTATTACTTTATTTTTATCTCATGTCCACAACATGACTATGATATCTCTTTCAACCCAGAAATGACAATTGTACAATTTAAGGATTGGAATCAAATTAAATTGTTGATTGATAAATTTGTTAAATTTTATAATGGTGACATTAAATTAACAGAAGTAAAAACAACAAAGCAACCGAAGGAAAAGCGTGTTGGTACTACTCAGGAAGAGGTCAGAAGAATTTTTGAAAATATTTTAGGAAATAAAAACAAAACTCAAATGATATCCCAGATGCAAAAAGGTGTAAAAGGTAAGTGTATACAAATATGGCGCGTATTTTATGGTACATGTCAAAATTTTAATAATTACAATACAACAGGTTCTAAAAATATTTTATAGTACTGTTATTACTATATGTTGTTAACGCGCCCGAAATGAAACCACGAAAATGTCCCAATTGGGACGCCTCGTCTTTAGTTTACGTCAGGCAGAGCGGGAAGTAAGACGCGGTATCAAATATTTTACAATAATAAAAATACAGTCGCGTGTCTTTAAAAGATGTACCAAGTATATATATATATATATATATATACTTGGTACATGTATAATGTATGTATGTATTATTTTCTTAATAGTGTAATTTATGTAGGTTTAATACGAGAAAGATTTAGCCGTATGCAACAAGAAATTTGTTCACACGCTAAAGTCGCAAAGACCCACTTGCCGTACCCTTTTCTTATTGATTTAATTATTATGTTAGTCTTTTTACACCTTTCGAAAGAAGGAATTTGTGCTGTCACTCTATAAATAGGAACACTGCGTCGGTGAGCATGTTGTACCGCGACTTTAAATGAACACACTTGTAACGGTGTTTTATAGCTTTTAAATTCATTCAATTCATATGTTTGGGGACCTTTACAAATGGACTTTACGTTACAGTTTTATGCGTACGAGTGTTCTAAAATTATTTGTTTTGGAAACTTTAGTAACTCAGTAAATATTGATGTTTAATAAAATTTACTTTGTTTAATACAATTTAAAAAAGTTATCCTCTATGGGTGTGTTTATTTAAGGTCGCGGTTGTAGCGCCACGTTGTATAGTATATCCTTGGGTACTAATTATCGTTTATTTACCCTAAAAGGTAAGACTATAAGGAAAAAGGTTGAAAAAAAAGTTTTACATGATGTTCAAAACAAAAAATGTCCTAAGAGAGGTAATGAAATATCAAAATATAAGGTAAAGCCGTCTGCCAAGGCGTTGTCTCCACAACAAGATACCCACTTAGATAACAATATAGATGTAGCTAAAATAGAAGAGAGACATACATTGATACTTAATAAAAAAGGACAAAATGAAAAGAAGAAAATAATTAAATATTCCAAAAGGAAAAGCGATAAGTCTAACTTGTGTATTGATCCGATTATTAGCAAATTCATTGAGCCAACAGATTCGGTAAAAAGACGATGTGATCTTTACTCGCAAAAGATAAAAGTATTGCTTAAGCAAAATATTATTCAATCTCCGGAAGACATCAGTACAAATATAAATGTATTAAGAGACAAAAGCACTCCAGAAAACGATATGAATGATGTTCCACCAAATAAACTCAGGAAATTTTCTACAACTTTAAATAACCATAATATTATAAATGAAAAAACTAATGATGAAATACATTTGAGTGTAATGCCTTTAGGTAAAGCCAACGAAGGTTATTTAAAATCATATGATTTAGTAAAAACAATTTTAAATACCCAAAAAGAGTACAGCTCATGTATTGAAAATGCTGCATTACAAAATAAAGATAATAGTCCTGTAAATACAAATACATATTATAGGATCCATGAAAATAACTTCGAAACAAATTTTGCTTCATCACTTACAAAAATAACATTTGACAGTCATCAATATCAAAAAGATAATGTTATATCGAAAAATTACAATAAACTGATTACCACCAACAACCTTTATAATTTAAGACCTCGAAATAAAATTACGAAATCGATAAATAAAATATCGAATTCTGAATTGCAGGGAATATTAAAGAATCGAAAGTCTTATTTTCATTTTAAATCCAGAGAGGAAAACAAAGGATTAAAATCAATCATTGAATATATCAGAGATCAGAAATCAAATAAAATAGATTTTTCTAATATCAATAATAATAGTCAAAGTTTTATGGGGATTAAAAATAAATTGTGCCATAATGGGTGGAATTATAAAGTTACTGGAAATATGCATAGCACTTTTACAATAATTGATTCCAATGTATCAATCAATATTCAGAGCTATATAAATCATGAAAGGGAAACTAATGAAGTGTATAAAAAAGCTAATTTAGAAGATGAATGCAGTTTTATGGCTCTTAATAATATAAGAAAAGAATATAATACGGATGACCTGATACCATGGGAATTAAGTAATAAAGAAAGTAATTCGAAAGGTTTATTCACAACGTATTCTGAAAATTTAGAATCTCAAATAATTTCGAATAGTTGTATTGAACCTATAAATGTATGTGAAGCTGTATATAAAAATCATGTGACAAGCAATCAGAAAATTAACGAGGAAATTAATAATAGTGGGCATTATAAAAATATCGTTCGAGAGAAAACAATTAGTAAATTAAACAAAGTTGATAATAAATTTGATGGCAATATATTCGATTCAACCAGTGAAAAGGTGAAAGTGTCACACCATTTTCAGAATGTAAATTGTTCGGATATGCATCCCTGTATACCTCAAAGTGAAATGAATAATGATAAGATGGAAAAGGGTACAAAGCAAGAAGCGTTGCTTTCAAAAGTTCATGACTCAAATGAAAAATTTTTCTTTGATTCTTTTGACATTTCTTTTGAAACAATGCCGGATTGGATAAAAATTGTAGATCAAAATCAAGCATGTAACAATTTTAAGATAAAGAACAGACATAATTTTTTACCTAAAGGTAATGTATGCATTTACAAAATTATTTTGCGACCCATGTGTGCATGACAGAATTTTAGGTATGTATGCTTTAAAAATTTTAGGTATGTCGCCAATATTTGAAAATTGCAATTCAAAAAAGGTGTGTTCATACGATTTAGAAATGGATTATTTTAAAGATGTAAGCATCAACATATAAATTGACAAATCATAAATTATTCATCTATCCATATGTAACGCCCATAATTATTATGTTTTAGGATTTATATGATGAATTTGCGAATAATGTATTGGACAATTTTGAACTATTTGATACAATGATAAAAAATGTTAATGATAATGTGTCCGAGAATTTTGTCCATTTAAACAGCAAATTTAAGAAGGATATAACGTGTCTTAAATTTAATAGGCATTCACTTACAGATGCCAAAGTGAGTGATGGTAAAATTCTTCATTTATACGTTGGTAGTTAGCGTTTGGAAAAAATTACGAGAGTAAAATTTTTACAATACGCGCGCACATCGACAGCCAAAAACTTTGTTACGTTAAAGAAGTATAACTTCTTACTTAGGTACACCAATGAACCAATGACTTAGTAATCACTGTTTTAGGTTTTCGGTCAAATAGATAAAAAGTACATAGTAGCTGAATTACATAGCGAAAGTAATAATATGTTAAAATACTTAGTATTGTTTGATCAGCATGCTGTGCACGAAAGAATCAAATTAGAGGAAAATTTGTCTGGTAATGATGGTACCCATTTACTGATACCTATATTAAGTTGTGGCTTTAAAAGAAATTCATATGATATATTTCTATACCAGATTATATAAAAGACGATCGATGGATTAGTATTGATTGTGAAACTTTGTCTATAAACCTTACAAAGGAAAATGTTATTTACCTCAGTAACTTTAAAGACAAATTTGCTCAACTTGGATTGAAATGGACATATGAAAATGATTTTGTCATGTTCAATGCCATACCTAAAGCTATATTGGGAAAGCATTGTAGACAGGTAATCATTATTAAAACGAAACCAAATATTTTTTTATTTTTATATGTAACCACTTCATTAATTTTTACAGCCTGATGTTGTACTGAGATGCGTAAAACATTTAATTATAGAAGAGATCAAAGCCATAAAGTATCTTAGAGGCAACTCGTTATTATATCCTAAATCGATGATGGATCTTGTTTTTAGTGAGGTTTGTTTTTTCAATCATAAAGTCGCACTGAGTATCATATTCGTTATAGCTGCTGTTATAAATACTAAAATCCAAACCCAAGGAACTGATCTTTTTAACTGGACCTTAATATAGCAAAAACCGAACGTAAAGGAATTCGCAAAACTACCCATAAATGTGTGTAGTTGATTTTCGCTAAATTTGGATATACTTAAATGAAAATTTTTCGTCGTATTTTGTTTGTGTATGTCCATGTGTCTTGTGTGTGCACTTACATTTTTTTACAAGTTGCTTATTAATGCTCCAACAGTGACCACAGCGTAAAATCACACTACAAGATACCGACTACAGTATATCCTACAGTGCGATTTATCACATTCAATTAATTTTAATTACAACAGGCTTGCAGATACGCGATAAAATTCGGAGACTCGTTAAGCAAAGACAATTGTAGGATGCTCATCACATCTTTGTCTACCTGCAAAACACCATTTCAGTGTGCCCATGGTAGGCCCGTTATGGCAGTATTGATGGATATGAGAGCCGTAGATAATGAATACACGGTACTTTTGTAATAATTCTATAAAATCCCGCGTGCTTTTAATTTCAATACTGTCTCGTCGCAAACTTTTTTCATTATTATATTTTTATAACTACAATATTAAACACACAATCATTATGTTTAACTTACAACTAAACTATCTTAGCATCCGTAAATATTAATAAAATATTTTCTTACAGGTCAATTTGTCTAAAATATCAATGTTTAGAAATAAATTTATTAAATAATTCAATGGTCTTTTTAATTCAATAAAAATCCGTTTTGACGGTCGACGATCACTTATTTCGATAGAGACAGTTCCACTTCTGTATTTATTTTTATTAAGCTGGGCCATTTGTGTTGCTTCCTTCGAATTTGGGAAAGGATCCAGTCGACATAATGGTATGTTCTGGTGTGGACGTCGGGGAAACCTACCGCGCAGGGTATGCCCCAAGAAACCAGTCCCACCAGCACATTATCTTTTACCAAGGGGCCGCCAGAGTCGCCCTGTAAGAAACGATCGGTTTTAAAGCCTACAATTATCGGCCAATGGATAGTCTTCATACTGAGTACGCGTCTCCTAAAAATCTCCCGCGTAAAATCTAATACCTTTAAACGAGCAATTCTTGTATATATAATATATATATAGAACACAAATGATAATTAAAATATGAAACAAATGAAAAAGAACTTTAACAAACCAAAAATATTGTACGTCCTATTCCGGTAGATTAGGTTAGCATTATGCTATGCCGGAAGTCAAGGCCCCAACACAGGGCTGATTTTCAGTGCTAACTTTCTAGCTTCGTAATACTTCGGTGCCTTACTGACCCATACACAGCGAAGTAACATTAATACTAATTATTATTTAACTTATTATATATATATATATATATAATCGGAAACGGCTCCAGCGATTTTCATGACATTGAGTATGTGCGTAGATTCGGGGGCGAAAAATCGATCTAGCTAGATCTATTTCTTGAAAATGTCCTCCAGGAACTTTTAGAGAAGAACGCTTTACAAACGATGCAAAACTGAACGTGAACAGTTCGAGTGATTGATACCTATAAAAACAAAGATTTTAATGACAATCCTAGTGTTTGGTGTACTTTGTCTCTGAAAGATTTTAACTGTGATAGGACCACGCTACATTTCATACTTGCACGAATGGGCAGATCTGTCCAGGGAAGTAATACGACCTCACAGAAGACTGCATTTCTTGAGTGAGGTAGCCGGGGCCCACTTTGTTAAAAAGTGCAACGCATCTGCAACCCTAGCGATGTTGCAAATGTCCATGGGCGGCGGATATCACTTAACATCAGGTCAACACTCAGCTCGCTTGTCATCTTTCTTATAAAAGAAATAATATCTCATATTGTTAGCTTATTCGCTATATGCAAAAGAATGACACACGAATAATTTCATGTATTGATAGTTTTGGCAGCGAAAATTTTTTCGACAATTTATCATTACGTTTAAGTTTCTGCAAAGTGCATAGATTTACAGTTTGTTAAATATACGATGATACGCGGGACATTGACATAAAATTGATATTAATAAACAAAAGTGACATTACGAAATAGTGGGTAGGACAAGTGGACGCGTTACTAACTCTATTATCAAAAGATACAGGCCATTTATGTCGTATACTTTGATTGCCACGGCACTCAGCAAACCGCAAATTATTTAAAATTATTGATCTAGAATCTTGAAATTTCGCAGGTAGACGACATAATACAAGTAAAAGTAAAAGAACAGTCCCAAAACTTAATTTCTAAGTACCGTATAAGGTTTTCGTTAAGCGTGGTAGCCCCCGGAGTTCCGCCATATTTACTCATGACTGCGTTTTTCTTTTTTTTGAGCTTTGGAATCTATTGTTGCAACTATAGCAACACTAAATTTACAAATATTAATTTTATACATAGCATATGGCAACATTATTGTATCTCTTGTATCTTTGTACCGCTCCGGCGATCCCGGGCCAAATACACGCTTGTAACTTGTCTTATGATTTTTATTAATTACTCCGCTCCACGAACACCAGCACCTATCAAAACATAGGTAGTCCAATCGCCCTACATCTATTATGTATCAATTAATAAAACACTTACATGGCATGTTCCTTGACCGATCTTCGAAAAAGTGCAAAACATGCTATCAGTTACTTCCTTCGTGTAACGCATAGCAAATCGACAAGTTTTCTGACAGAAAACTGTTAAGTTTAACGCGTACATCTGACGACTAGAAACTCCGTAAGCCTTAAAGAAATGAATGACTATAGTAAACTTAAACATGTATCAAATAACGTATGTCTCTAAGGAAATGGTGTTCAAAACAATAATAAAATACCTGATTCGCCCCAAAACCCGAAAGAATGATTGGATCCCCGTCTTGTAATTGAGTTTCCGGTAGTTTAAGTATATGAATATTATTACTATGAAATAATCCTTTAATACTTATCATGGCTATGTCATTTTGTCTCAGAGTAGAGTTATACCCTCGATAAACGTGAATTTTTTTGACTTTATACTCTTTACCTCCTATATCTAAATCATTCGTCCCGACTACCACTTTAATGAATTGCGGTTTAGCCCTGCAATTGTAAGATAAGGTGTCTTTAATATTTATTGGAATTATCTAATTAGAATTAAACTTGCAGTAAAATTTCTTCATTCTCACCTGTGTACGCAGTGCGCGGCAGTCAATAAATGCTTTCGAGAAACAACTGCACCGCCACAAACATGATCTCCAGTTAAGTTTTGAAGTGATGCATGGAATCTACCGAATTCCTTTGGAGCTCTGTAACCTCCTAATATTCTTGGCGATGCCCCTGTAACTATACATTACAATATCACTAATTTTTATTTTCACTCTAGATTTTCACTTTTTATTATGAATATTAGAACCTTCAGATATCGACGCAAACAATATCCACAATATACCATAAAGTAAAATTTTAAAACGGAACACTTCTTTGAAAAACATTATTTCTTATTAAATTATTAAACACGATATCTACTTATTATAAGAATAATGGGCTTTCTGTATAGTAATTATACTGACTGTCTGAATCAATGTAATGATCAAAGCAATAATCTTCGTTATCTTATTGTAACCGCTGTGATTACCATGTTATCTGGTTAAGGATGATTAAAAGTATTTCAAAGGAAGCCGGTAAAATAGAGATAATCTTTGAAATGATCAACGTTTAGAATTCACTGACTACCTACGCGCCATACGTTGATATTATTAGATAATAGTAGGAGGGCCCAAGCGGGAATATTATGATTTGATGAAGCTCGACAGATTAATGTCAAAATTAAATGCATAATTGCTTCTTATTTAAGATAATTTATTTATTTATTATTTATTGTCGTCGTCATGCAGCAGCCTCGTTGTTCTCTCCTGTGTCCGTAGGTCGACGACGTCTTCCCACAAAGCGTTTTTGACAAATGTTTCAAAGGCAAAGTGTCGGGCTAAAGTGAAATTAATAGATATAAAAATAAAAAAGGAAAAATCTTCACTCAAAATTTATCACCCCCTTTATTTAAAGGATTTAAAAATAGGTACATAATATATATTCGGGTAAACCTGCCCTTATATCATCGTCGGGAAATCGGTGTTATGGTAAAATTTCGAAACCACGGAATAGAGAAAACAACTGTTTTCTCTATTCCGCATTCGAAACGGTGATCTAAAAACACTGACAACAAACAACATTCAAAGAGTAAAGTAATGTACACGTATACACGCAAACTGCAAACGAACATTAACTGTCTGTACTTTTGTTTTTTTTTATGTGAAAAGCGAGCAGACGGTTCACCTGATGTTAAGTGAATACCGCCGCCAATAGACCGATCTGCTACACCTGAAGGTTTGTTGACAACCATTTTGAAAATTGGGCTCCGGCCACCTCACTCACCAGACGAAACTCGAAAGAATTTTACTTTCACTTTACGCCGGTCTTCTGTGAGGTCGTGGTACTTACCCGGACGATCCTACCCATTCGTGCAACAGCCGAGGCTGTTGCGTGGCCCTATGTACCGCCGTAAATGTATGGTAAAATCCGAAGATATTAAACTTTAAATGATTAATAACGACAATCGAAATCGTTAGGAATGTCGAAAGGGAAGAAATATATCGATATTTAGATAATTATAAAATTATCAAAATCTCCCTGGATATATCGAAGAGATATTTTCTATAAAGGTCCTAAAAACTTCGTCGTCCAAAAAAATGTATGTCAAGTATTAAGTGTGCCGGATCAAATATCCGTTTTGATAAGATTTTCGGTATTGAATATTTTGTATCGATATATCGGATCCAAATATATCGGCTAAAATATCGATATACAAATTATTATTAAAAAATATCGATATATCGATATTTTTTAGAATCGGGACGATAGTGTCGAATGTCGATCCCTACTGTCAAGTATATATGTCAGATGTCTTATCTATGTTACTAGCTAGTTAGCTACTGTCATTCTGTCAAGAAATCAAATGTTAAATTAAAATGTTTGTTGTAAAAAGGAGTCATTTCATTTGTATCCATAATTAATAACTTCTGTTACTATAAGAAAAACTTATCGTATCCATTGCAATGGATATATTAAAGGCCGAAATTGCAAAGAAACGTAAACTTCTAGAAGAAAAAAATATATTAGTGAGTATTTCTATAAAATCCTTTTTTTATGTTATTTTGACCATAATATGTTGTTTTATTTTAATTTAAATGTTACTTCTATTTCTTTTTAATAATTTTAACAATCTGAAGAATCCGTCTAAAAAGTACTTCAAAAGAGGAGAGCTTATTGCAAAGGAACAAGAAGATTATTTTAAGAAGTATGGTGTTAAAGTGGAGGAGACTCTAAATGATGACTCTGTAAAAAATGAAGATAATGGTAAGATGGTTTAGTATATTATGAGCATCCACTAATCCATTGTTTCATCAGTCACTAACTCAATCATATCATGACTAAACTAGAGCAGAGCTAGAGTTTGCTGTTTTTGAAAAAACTTTTGCAAGATTCTACAAATTTCAAGTAATACTACAAGGCTCATACCTAATTTAATAACCACATAATTATCAAGAGATTTTTGCTTAGTTTAGTGGCTAGTGTGTCTGTATGGGTAATCCAGGAGGTGCAGTTTCTGAGTGACAAGTAGCAGTGGCAAGAAATTTTGTGACAGTTTTCCCTAATACTTTTAAGTGACAAGTAGCAGTGGCAAGAAATTTTGTGACAGTTTTCCCTAATACTTTTAAGCAGGAATTGTCATAAATTGGACTGAATGGCAGTGCCATTGTCTAGTAAGCAGTACTAGACAATTAGTTCTGCTATTCAAACAGGAACATTTAACTTTTAAAATAGTAAATTGTTCATTACTAGTGCAACCCTGACATTGTATATCATTAATAGCCAAAAAAGCCTAAAGATCTAAAAAATAATAAAAGAAAGTTCTACAAGATTTCAACACAAATTAACTTACTTTCTGCTTACATCAGACTAGATTGAAAATTTTACAAGTATAACATTTGAGGATTGCCCTTGATTTCTCTAGGATGCCATCATCAGATCCGGGTTTCCTTATCATGGTACCACCCTTGGGATATCCCCCTTCCAACAAAGAAATAATCATTAAAATAGGTTCATAAACAACGAAGTTATCCGCCAACACACATTAAAAAAGAAATATATATATACGGTTGAATTGAGACCTCCTTCTTTTTTGAAGTCGGTTAAAAACACCATGAATTTGATTAACAGATGATATCAAGATGTTTAATACCTCGGCCTGTTCCATGATTATTGCCTAGTTTTATAATTATTGAAAACTTAAATTTGATGAATCCATAAAAGTAATTTTATTTTCATAATTAATTAATAACATTAATAAATTTCATTAATTTTATTGGTTAGAGATAATTAACCCTAGGCTACCTAGTATTGCAGGAGCCAATCCCTGCCACTAAAATACAGGTTAATCTATTTTGGGAGGCTGACTTTGAAACTGTGTTGAAATGTTAAATATAGCATATTTATTCATTTATTATTTATCTTGGTGTCATGGAAATAATGTTCTTTTTCATAATGTACAACTATATATTTCACAGCAAAAAAATTGGAAAACGAGTCTGAGCAAAATGATAGTGCAACTCTGCCTCGAACTGAAGTTATTAAAAGACTGAGGGAAAGAGGTCACCCAATAATTTTGTTTGGTGAAAATGAAGTTCAGTCATTTAGACGACTTAGACGAATAGAAATCCAAGAACCTGAAGCAAATAGAGTAAGAAACTTCCTCTTTTTTTTGCATTCATACCTGAGTGCTATCTTTGGTTACAAGATTGTTAATTGCATTTTGTTTGAGTAAAAGTCTTGTAGTCATAATTAGCTGTTTCTTTATAATCACTTCAAACTGTTATTAAAAGTATGTTTAATCTGTATTTCTGTCCTAAAAATTATCTAATTTTTAGGGTTTGAGAAATGATTTTCAAGAAGCAATGGAAAAAGTGGATCAAGCTTATCTTAATGAAATCTTAGCATTAGGAACACAAGTAAGTTAATTTTCAGAGCATACATTGTGTGTTTTATATGTTTAGAATTTTTAATATTGACATTATTTTACTATTTTTTAAAATTCGAAGTTACTATTTTTTCATAATTTTTCTGTATATTGTTTCAGAATGATAATGATAAAGGTCACAAAGAAGATGACTTGGATGACTCCATTACCTATGAATTCATTCAAGAAATGGCCAAAACTATGGGCCAAGGAGACAGAAATCATGATATGACTGTTATTATGACATTATTGCAGGTAAAACCTACCCACTGGTTATGGAAGTTATTAAATATTGGTAATAATGGTAATAAATATTGGTTATAATGGCTCTTGTAATGGAAATGGATTCTTGAAATGGAATGGAATTAAATCTAGACCTAAAGCATCATCACTGCAAGATTAGGACATATTAACATTTTGCTGCATGGATTGGACTAAAAATAATAGCTTTAAAGCTATTGGTGCTTTTTGTATTGTGATTTTTGTAGATAAATGAACCTGCGTCTTTCGGTTTTACAAAACTGCTTTGAAACTTTGATGTTGAGTGTAGCACTAAAAATAAAATAAATCCTAAAAAACATTCTAGCTAACTAGCTTCATGTTAGGAGTAAGAATATGTCGTGTTAAAAGCTGCCTATAAAAACTCAATAGGAGCAGTTTTATCCTATGATTGGCAGTATATGTGTGGTTAAGAACATTATGAATATTTATTTATTTTTAATCGTAAACTTAATTTGTAATGATCAGCAACAAAATGATTCACTGAATCATCCTGCAATAGTGTTTACTTTCTGCTAATACTGTTTCATTTAAAAACATGGTATATGAAGGATTCCTGCAATAAAAATTGATGATTATTTCAGTTTCTTCTAAAAATGTGGGGTCAGCAACTGAATTCAGCAACAGCTGCCGAGAAAACTTCAGTTAAACACAAAATGGCAAGAGCAACATACACACAAACACAAGTGTACCTTAAGCCACTTACTAGAAAATTAAAGAAAAAGTCATTACCGGAAGATATTTGCGACAGCTTAATGGAAATCACAAAGCATCTATTGGAAAGAAATTATATAATGGTAACTATTATAAGTTAAAATTTAATAACATTTAATAATCAAAAAACCAGTACATTTACAATTAATATAAGCATTCCAATGATTTCACCCTATGGTGGAAGACTGAGATAGGAATAGAAATTATTACTTTTCATCAAGGTTTTCATTCAGAAATAGTGATTTGTTGCTGTTAACTGGATACTAGGCATTAATTTCGGGCGAATGCATATACACATGATTTTTTACGTTATAATTATGTAAATCAGGATTCTTACAAACATTCTCTACACACATCTTAATGCAGCAGTAGTCAGTATTTTAATTTATTATATTTTGTAGGCTAGTGATGCATATCTTCAAATGGCAATTGGAAATGCACCATGGCCCATTGGCGTGACTATGGTTGGTATTCACGCACGAACAGGACGTGAGAAGATCTTCTCTAAAAATGTTGCCCACGTTATGAATGACGAAACTCAAAGAAAATACATACAGGCTTTGAAAAGATTAATGACCAAGTGCCAAGAATATTTTCCCACGGATCCTTCTAGATGTGTTGAATATACTACAATAAGATAACGCAAAAATTTGTTTTTTATTTCTACCACCATAGTATATGGTGACAGTAAACAATGTGAAATGTGTTAAGTGAAAAAATTAAACAATACGTATACATATAAATAACATTTCGTCCAATGAATTGAAATAGTAACAAAAAAAGTAAAAAGAATTAATGAATAAGATTCAATTTCAGCCAAATAGTTATTAGCTCTTTGACAATCTTATCTATTTATATATATTTATATAATTAACCGATGTTTGTGCTTTCAGTCCCGAGACTATTAAAGCTTCATCTGACGCAGAACCGGTGGGCTAGCCAGAACCCACGGGTTTGGGCCCTCCGCTGTGGGTAGGGCCGCGCATGTGCTCATGCGTGCGTTTAACTACGACATGTCATCTAAGGGCCATCGAAGTTGCGGGCGGACCGAGATCCCGATGGCCGTCGACTTTGATTTTAGCTAATCGGTGGCTGGGGGCGGTGAGAACCGCCCTGGAACGCGGGTGTACCTTGTGTACGTGTTGTGTTGGTCTCGCCGTGCTCGGAGGCGAGGGCGAACTAATGTGTTTGTTGCTACACTAACTGTGTGTGTAGTGTTATCCGTCGGGACCCTCGACGGTGGGTCCGACGTAGCTAAGTCCCCTTCCTCAACCGGGTCGAGGACGTTTCGCGGGCGACGCTTGTTGACGTTCGCGTTTGGATCGGGTTGGTGATTTGCTGCTCTTACTACCAGAGGGTTGGGATGCTGTTCGGGTCTATCGAAGAACCGTTTGGTCAGGTCTTTGAAAAATTCGCGAATCGTCGGGAGACTGCAATCGCTTTGCAGGTCGACGTTGCAATCTCATCTAAGCATCTGTTTAGAAGACTAGTCAGCCGTTACTAGCCAGATTGATCGGAAGACGTCCGTAGCCAGAAAACCCTGCGAATTAGAAAAACAACGTAGCTGGTGCACAATGACAGCGGATTGTGTCTTGTACATGTGTTTCTGTCGAGACGCGGACAAACGCCCAAATGCAAAACAACTATCTGTGGATCACACAAATAGTTGTCCCGTGTGGGAATCGAACCCATGACCCTCGACGCCGAACCCAATGCCTTGGCCACTGCGCCACGGGGTCATCTAGATTGTAAACAGATATTTTTGAAAAAGAGCAATTGTTTAATTTCTTTCCGGTCTCTTCTCAGCAGAAACTGCTTTCCAAACCGGTGGTACCTTACGAACCTATTTATAATTTTTTATGTAAAAATTTGACGATTCATAAGAACGTGCAAGCGTCAATTTGACTAAAGATATTTTTGATTTTGATTTCATTAGAATAAAAAAACCCAAAAAAAATTTGCCATAAATATTCAATGCCTGGTTTACATGTATACATGCAGATGGCTGTTTAAAAAATGAAATTGATAAAATCGATTTATTAAAAATCGATTGTTATTATTGAAAAAATCGTTTTTAAATTAATAAAAGAAAAAAAATCAATTAATATGAAAATCGATTATTTTTTCACATCCCTACCTTACTTAACCTATATTGTTATGTTGGTTTATGGTTATGTTTTTTGTTTTTGTTTACTTATAACGTAGTGATTACATTCTCTTTGACTTATAATAATTATATTATGTAGTTAACCCTACGTTCAATAATCAATAATAGACTGAAATCATGTTTTACACGCAAAATTAAGATTCTAAAATAACACAGTGTTACAAATGTAATTATTTTCGTAACCTAAGACATAAATGTAATAATATTTAAGACCTATAAAAACTTATTTTATTTCATTTTAAAATGATTTTTGACTATATTATCAAGTTTCATTTAAATGATTGCATCGGCATTTTATCTGAACTTGATAACTTGGGTTATTATAGCATAAAAGTAGAGTAAGTTTATTTTAAATTGTTAACACTGTATTCTCAAGTTTTGCATTGAATTAACGAAATACTATGTTGCAGTTTTATGAAGCTGTTTGAAACATTTCCTGATGTAGGTGATAAAGTTCTTTGTAATCCTGTAGAGAGCTTACCAACATGTAAAAAGGACATTATAAAAGTGCAGCAAAATATTTTAGAGAAAGATGAATATAAAGATATTCTTTCAAAACTTAAATATTCTTATTTAAAAAGAAATGTGCAAGCGAGATTCTTTGGTTTGCCAGTATGTCCTGAATTACACAGAACAGTATTTCCTAAGAATATAGATATGGGATGTTTTTTAAAGGTTTCAGGTATGTTCTAATCATTTTATTGTAATATATAGCTTAATATTGCCATGTAACATAATTCGATTTAGAGGAAAAAATCCACTGGTGGTGGATAAACTTTAAAATATCTCATAATTATGTACCTTTTATATTTTTTCTTACAGATTGTATCAAAAGTAAAATGTCTTCCATGTTTTTTCAAATTCATTTTGTGATCATAACTGGATGGCAAAAGGTCTTACCTAAGGGTTTCCGATCTTTTTCATTTCCTTTTCTATTCAATACAACATTTGCAATGTTTTCTGTGCATGTGTAAATATTTCTTGTTACATCCTAAATTAAATTTTATTTTAAATTACAGGAACAGTTGTCAGAGTAACACAAACCAAAATGTTAGAGTATCAAAGGAAATATGTATGTATGAAATGCAAGTATGAAAACTGTGTGGAAGCAGATTTTGAAAATCGATATATCTTAAAAGCCCCATCCAGATGTGGCAATTCTGATATTAGATGCAGATGTTCTACTTTTACACAAATAAACTTAGTATCCAGAGAATATTGTAGGGACTATCAAGAAATCAAAATACAGGTAAATATTTAATAATAAGGCTGGTCTTCTATGAACTGCTTGTGTATTTGTACTATATTTTATTATTAGTTAGTCTTATTATTTTGCTCTATATATTTTGCTGTTCACTGATTACTTTGCATTATTCAGGTTTTCAGTAAGAAAAAATACCATCTCATAGAATATCTGAAATATATCATATCACATATTTTAAATATTAAACTTTGTATAACTATTTCTAAAACCTTCATGTCTTCTATTTTAGTCTAACTTTTAAGATAGTTGCTTTGTTTTTAGTTAATTTATTTACCAAGCTTAATAACTTTTGGAGATCCTTTCTATAAAACAACTTATTCTTCTAGGAACAAGTGAACAAACTTAGCATAGGCACTATACCAGGATCCATGTGGGTGGTGCTTGAAGATGATCTTGTGGATTGTTGTAAGCCTGGTGATGATGTTAATATTTGGTAAAAACCTATTTTTTTAGATGAATTAATTCAAACTAATATGTTCTAAGAAATTTTTAGCATAAAATTCCCTTAAGATGCCAGAACCACTTCCTATTACAACTATCAAGTCTGCACCAACATAAACAGAAAGATTATAGATAGGGCAATATAAGAAGTATGTATCAATACATTGGAATAAAGGCATAGATTTATCAAGATGTTCAAAAGTTTCTTTACTTTTTTTCAATTTAACCTACAAATAGATTTGGTTACTGGAGATAGAATTTTGACATAAGTATGATGGAGTTAGTTGCTAGTAACCAAATTTATCTGTAGATAGAATATTGAAACAAGCCATATGTGGGACAAAATATAGCCACTGAGATTTGCTCATAAGAAGTCTCATAAGCAGTTTATTTTTTACACAGTACATTGATTTGAAATAAATATCATAATATTCATCCTTACCAATCGATGAATAATTATTGCAGTGGAACAGTTCGCCGGCGGTGGCGCCCTGCAGTGCAAAACAAAAAATCAGAAGTGGAGTTATTGTTGCATGCTAATTATGTGGAAATTAGTAATGCTCAAAGATCTGCTGTGATTGCCACCGCCCCCGATATTAAGAAATGTTTCAATGAATATTGGGGCAAGTTTGAAGCCTGCCCACTACAAGGCAGAGACCGAATCCTATCCTCCGTATGTCCACAGGTGATCTGAATTATAGATAGTTAATATATGACAGTACTTCTTATACAAATTAAAGTTTTGTCATTGCCAAAACTGATCAGTGAACTTAATCAGATGGTCAATGTCTAGGGGTTGGGTAGTAAGTCCCAACAACCACTATGATTTAGAAAGATCTATCATAGTCTTCGCTTCGAAAACATTGCTCCCTTCATGTTAGATAACATTATCCTGTTTTAAGCATAATTTTCATACATAAATTTCACTTAGGTAAACCCAGATCTGAAAAAATTATATGTGGGTCACACAAATAGTTGTATGTATAGTGTGCGAGTCGAACCCAAGTGCCTAAGCTAATACCATGGCATGACATAGATTCACCATATACATCTACAGTTATATAGATCATATTTTGACCAAGCAATCATTTTATCAATATGATTTCAGTTGGTATAGTTAGAAATTATTATACTTAGTGTAATTTATTTCTCTATGACATTAAAACTGAGTTTAATAGATAAAAGATAGAATAGTTGATGGTGATAGGGCCATGCAGCAGCCTCGGGTGTTGCACGAATGGGCAGGCACGCCCAGGTAAGTACCACGACTTCACAGAAGACCGGCCTAAAGTGGAACGAAACGCGAAAGTATTATACTTAATACTTTCGCGTTTCGTCTGGTGAGTGAGGTGGCCTGAGCCCAATTTTCAAAAGATTGTCAACGCATCTGCAACCCTCGGGTGTAGCAGATGTCTATGGGCGACGGTATTCACTTTACATTAGGTGAACCGTCGGCTCGCTTGACAACTTTTCACATAAAAAAATAAAATAAAATGGTGCCAAAAAAATTTTCTGTGCACACACAGTTCTAATGTTTAATCATGATAAATTTTTCTCATAATACGTTTAATCACTTTTCAGGTCTATGGTTTACATTTAGTGAAACTTGCAGTAGTTCTGACCGTCATTACTGGGTCGAATCACGCTTTGGATGATGGGTGCGACAAATCGGCAAACGATGAAAAGTACGAAATGCACATGAGGGGCCAGTGTCACCTGCTATTGGTGGGTGATCCGGGTAAATTATTATTTATTCATATTCAATATATTTAGAACGGTGATCACACGTAGGATAGAATAAGACTATTATACCTATATATTATATTGTACTATCAGGGTACAGGGTTTTTGAAAAAGAACAACTGTTGCCGGTCTCTTCTCAACAGAAACTGCTTTCCGAACTGGTGGTATCTTACGAACCTATATACATAATCTTTGATGTAAAATTTGACGATTCATAAGAGCGCGCAAGTGTCTATTTGAATAAATATATTTTTGATTTTGATTTTTGATTCACAAGCAAAACTGAACAGACATAAATTTAAGAAGCCACAAACACGACTCTAGAATTCAATTATAATTTAAACATTACTCTGGTAGAAAAGATCAGGGATCTTTTCTTTACTCCCTTAATCAAAACTTCTCTTATCATAACTTTTTAATTTGTAGAATGGTCTTATAATAGATAAAGACCATTCCAATGGTCTTTGTCTATTATGGCCAATATGAGCTTGCTACTTCAATTGTAGATGGGCAACGCATTTGCAACACGTCAGGTCCATGATTGGCAATCACTTAACATCAGGTGAACCGTCAGCTCGCTTGCTAACTTTTCACATAAAAAACTTACTAAGAGATACGAATTAAAAGTCAGCTTAAGCTCATATTTCATCATTAAGCTTACCAATCTTCGGAGCTATGTCAGTTACCGTTTGGTGCTAATGGAAATATCTTCATTGCGAACTCTATCACACAGAGAAATATCGAGCACAGCCGGCTCCACAGCTGCTTCGACATTCGCATAAAAGATGCAATAAAAATGCATGTTTCAATAATAATTATTAATGCTTTACCTCTATATTAGTTGCAATAATCATTCGTGATTAATAGTAATTATTTATTTATTTATACTTCATTGTTACACCTTAGGCTAAAGGCTACAATGGGCGGACTTAATGCCTAATGGCATTCTCTACTTCTAGTGAGAAAGCGGATACTAGGGTCCATAGATGGAGTAGAAATATTGGTTAATGTCATCTAAAGAGAGCGAGGAGAAATGATCTGGTGGGCACGGCTTGGTTATGCAAAGAGATTTAAGAAATTTCAAAAGATTTTAAAAATTATGTAACTGTTCATCATTGATAAATCAGTTTTGATAAAGTTGGCAAGTTGCAACGCTTCACCTGGTGGGAAGTGATTACTGCCGCCCATAGGATGCGTTGTTAACCTTTACAAAAAGTACTCATGATGTGCTTATAATTAATGATTTACTTTTCAGGTACAGGCAAGTCGCAGTTGCTGCGCGCTGGTGCAGAGCTCACTCCCCGATCGGTGTTCACCTCAGGTGCGGGAAGCACCAGGGCCGGACTCACTTGTGCGGCGCTAAAAGTACGTGATCTGTTTTTTTTTTTGGGCCGGACTCACTTGTGCGGCGCTATAAGTACGTGATCTTTTTTTTTTGGGCCGGACTCACTTGTGCGGTGCTAAAAGTACGTGATCTGTTTTTTTTTTGGACCGGACTCACTTGTGCGGCGTTCATAGTGCAGATTTTTTTTAAATAAAAAAATCTGTTCTTTTCGTATGTCGGTACTACGGTAGCAGGTGAGTACCAGGCAGTGGTAGTGAACTAATAGCTTTGAGGCATGAATCACTCAATAGTTGCAATATAATAATACACTTTTGATAAGCTAGCGCCATTCTAGTGAGTTTTTGAACTGTCATTTGCTACTTACCGCTGGATATTTTTTCAACTTATGCGTATAACATTGTCCTTCTTATCTCTGCACTCAATAACTTCTATCAGACCGCGTGGATAAATTGAAAGAAAAACTCCACGTGTCAATTATTCCGTTCATTAAAACGATAATTGAATAGCAGATGACATAAGACTTGTCCCACCTAGGAGAGGTCGACACAATATGTATATTACGTTGTTAATGGTATTGGCTATGTGTTTTCGATCGGCCGCTTAACTAACGCCAACCCAATTCCGGAACAATTATCCGTGACTCACAAATGCTAGTCCCGTGTAGGAATTGAACGCACGTTCCCAGGCGCCGAAGCTGACAGGACATTACAGAACAAACGAAACATTTTTACACAACGTTTTCTAGTCCCAAACTAAGCAACGCTTATACTGCGCGGGTAAATAAATACATACTTTAAATTTATAAACACCCAGATACAGGAAAAACGCAATGATCACACAATATTATTGCAGGGGTGGGGATCGAACCCACAGCCTCTGGAGTAAGAGGCAGGATATACCCATTACGCGAATCGGGCCGTCAACAGCTTGCTAGCAGATGATGCTAAGTGAGAACCCCCGCTCCTTGACGGTTCCAACATTCGTTGCCAACTTTCAATAAAGTGGCTCTATCGTTTCCATCGGACATTTGCCGTTAGGAAGAGGGCGAATGGCAGCTCGAAGCTGGCGCCCTGGTGCTGTCCGACGGCGGCGTCTGCTGCATCGACGAGATCTCCCAGCTGAGGGAGCACGACCGCACCGCGATACACGAGGCCATGGAGCAGCAGACCATCTCTATCGCGAAGGTAATAGGGCCCAAAATCGCGTGCCTAAAGCACCGTTTCACTTATCGCACGACCGGGCAGCAGACTCTATTGCGAGGGCAATAGGGCTCATTATCGAGCACCGAATTCACCGTTTCGTTTTCATTTACCGCACGACCGCACCGCGATACACGAGGCCATGGAGCAGCAGACCATCTCTATCGCGAAGGTAATAGGGCCCAAAATCGCGTGCCTAAAGCACCGTTTCACTTATCGCACGACCGGGCAGCAGACTCTATTGCGAGGGCAATAGGGCTCATTATCGAGCACCGAATTCACCGTTTCGTTTTCATTTACCGCACGACCGCACCGCGATACACGAGGCAATGGGGCAGCAGACCATCTCTATCGCGAAGGTAATAGGGCTCATTATCGCCTATTTATTTATCGTTTCCAAAAGTTTGGTTAAACTCTCTGAATTGATTAGAACGATCTTCTTAATGAACAGAATGATCAATTCAAAGAGTTTCATAATCCTTTTGGCAACTCCAATAACATTTGAAAATCCATTTGACAGCTGGTTAGTTGACTTCTACGATGATCAGTGTTTCAGAAACCGGGAGTTAGTCCGTCTAGTTAAGTCCAACTTCGACGCAGAGTTCAAACGGCGAATTCAATTCGGACTGCGTTCGGGAAATTTCGGCGAATAGAACTCAATTTTTGAAGACTACTATTTTTGTTATAAAAAAAAAAAATCAAAAACAAATCAAACCAATGTGTGCTGCTGGTGATAAAATATGGAACCGAGACGTGTTTCTTCATAGCTGGCCGTATGAGGAAGCTCAGAGCTGCTCACCGAGCTATGCTCGCCATTTCTCTGCGTGATGAAGTTCGCAACGAAGACATCCGTAGTAGATCGAAGATAACCAACGTAGCTCAGAAGCTTAGTAAGCTGAAGTGGCGGTGGGCCATATATGGCCATATTGGCCATATAAGTACGATAACCGTTGGGGGAAAAAAGGTTCTCAAGTGGCAGCCACGTACGGCCAGAACGAGGCCTATGCTCAGCAATGGAATTTTAACAGGCTGAAATGATGACGCATTGAATCACTTTTTATGTAAAATTCGACGTTTCATAAGAAAGCGCAAGCGTCTATTTGAATACAGATATTTTGTGTTTGAGTTTGACTTGAGTTTAAATCTGCATATTAGTTTTTTTCATACTTCTTTCTGTACTGTATACATTAATACTTTTTCGATAGTGTACTTGATACTTTAGATTTCTTGAATTAATTAAGTTTTGTTTAAATAGTTAAGATCTAATAAAGTTTTGTTTTATATTAGAGTTCCATTTTAATTACGTTTCGTTTTTATTTTCAGGCAGGTATAGTGTGTAAGCTGAATACGCGGTGCGCGGTAATAGCCGCTTGCAATCCGAAGGGGCATTATCAAACTGATGAACCGCTGAGCTCAAACGTATCTTTGGGGACGCCTCTCTTAAGCAGGTAACAATTACGTACATTTATTTGTTACTTTCACACAACAATAACGTGGATAGACTACGTATATACGACCAACACTCGATTTTTACTTTTGATTATCTATACGTCTTGATTCCTTCCGGCACATCAAAGCGTCGACGTTTTAGATGCAGTAAAATCAACGTACTAGTTGCAATACATTCAAAATCCCCATAAATAATTTTGGCGAAAATATACACATGATGAAAACAAAACTAACCAGTAAATACAACATTTTTTTCATTTTAATCGTAACGCACGTGAATTCAGTTGATGCAAATGTAAAACAATACCTTTACGCCCACAAGAATACCGAAACGATTCCATAAATAAAAAATAAAAAAAAAACATTTGATTGACCGACAAAGAATCTCGACGTGTATGTAATCTAAGATGTTTACAACAGAAACATTTAGTGGCAATAACGAGAGTTGGTGAAACGTGTACATCCCACATCAGAAAAATAAAAATCCTGATCTAGGGGATCCAGTTTGATGATCTAAATGGGTGGAATTTAATGTTTTTCTCTATTGTTCCTATAAATTTTTTTCAGTTTTGTTTTAGATTCGATTTGATATTCATTCTGCTCGACTCGAGGAACCGCGCGTGGGACAAATTAGTCTCGTCTCACATTCTATTTGGAGCGTCAGACCCAAGAGTCTCGGAATCGAGATGGAATATCGAAAAGTTGCAGGTATTTTAGAGGACGTAAAAAGTTGAATTTTGTAAAAACCTGTATATCTCATAATAAGATGTACACAAAAGCATAATGTTAATAAAGTATTGTGTTACCTCCCGCTAGCTGCATTATGGAATTGCGTTCCAAAAAAAACTCTTTCTAGAGAACTTAAGTATAAGCGACAGAAACGATAAGATTTTTGATTGAATTTATATGATAACATGTTAAATATAATCTACAAACTTACATTTTCTTTTAGATGTACATCGGCTTAGTTGGCCCGTGGCGAACTGAAATGACAAAAGCAGCCAATACCATACTCCAAGCCTATTATATGATGCAGAGGAAATCTCACAACAGAGATCCTTCTAGAACAACTGTCCGAATGCTGGACAGTCTCGTCAGGTTTGTATAAAATTATCCATTACACTAATATGGCGGGTGTTAGTTTAATCTATACTTTTAAGGAACTGCTAGGGTAGTGTAGACAACTCGTGTGTGTGTATGTGCGTGCGTGCGTGACTGTGTGTGTGTGTTTAAGGAACTTATAGATACCGTATGTTCTATTAATCAAGCAAATTCTTACGCATATTTTTTTATTTAATTTATCTACATGGTTAAAGGGATATTTATTATTATTTGTATGTTTTACAATTAGTCCAGATGTGGTTTCGGTATATGGAAATTGCTGCAACACAATATTAATAGATAATATTTTAATGTGATATAAATATAAAAAAGGAATATTGTATAACCTAGGCTTTATTACGAACATAAAAAAAGTAGTTTTAGAACATAATATTTTTTTTTTTATTACTATAAAGATATGGCAACTTCCCAAGAGATGCATTTGATTATTAATTGGGATTGCATGCATGTTATCAAAGAGGTATGAATACTTCTGATCTTTTCTAAGGCCGTAGTAATTTCCTCAGTTAAGTTAGCCGATTGTCTCTTTCGAAACATGGATCAATTCATGGTTCAATATTTATCGCCAAGTACAATAAACAGTTGTGTATATATATATATATATATAGTATAGTAAAAAAATGTCTTACAGATTATCTCAGGCGCATTGTCGACTAATGTACCGCACCACAATATTGCCAGTTGACGCTATAACGGCCGTGTCATTAGTAGACTTATCAATGCAAGACTACACTTCGAACGACACCGTAGACGCGTTGCACTCGGCTTTCCAGAAACATCCAGATTTCGACTATCTACGCAACGCCAAAAGAATATTGACACGCCTAAATCTTCAGCAAATATGGAAGGAGGAATTGCTTTATTACGCTAAGCTCTTGAAAGTCGACCACAAAACTCTGGAATGCGACGTGGAGGGAGGAAGGGTCCAGCTGTTTTCCAAATACGACGAAGTGACTGACGAAAACATTCCGTTGTCGGCATCGCTAGTCACAAGTTCGTATTTTAACAGGAACGTTACGAAAAACAACGGCACTGAAAAAGAATTGAACAAAGAAAATGTTGATATGGATTTAAACGTGGATCAGAAAACTATAGTCAACGATCGTTTAGCAGCAACGCTTAAAAAGCACGCGGCTCCCAATAAATGCGAAAATAAGTTGGCTAATGTTCAAAAAAAGGGACCCACCCGCAAAAGGAAACGGAAGGAGTTAACAATAGACACCAGTTCATTTGGCAAAAAGGAGGGCAAAAAACAAAAAGGAAGTAAAATGATCGATCTCGGTGATATAAGTGATAGTGAGGAGGATTTTTATGATCCTACTAAATTATTAAATGCAGTCCCAAGTGTGAATGATGTATTCAACAATTTAGTTGATGATGTCGATTTAAAATTCGATAATGAGATATTTTATGTAACTGGAACAGAAAGAAAGATTGATGATATACCAGAATCGAAACTGATCGAAACAAGATCAGATGAGTCTAAAATAGGAGAGAACAAAGCAATATCGAAGACAAAAGAATTGTTGAAACAATTTCAATTTGCTAAAAAACATAATACTGAAATGGTTAAAGATAATATCATCCAAAATGGTGATATTAAAAGGGAACCGAATGACAATGTTAGTGATAAGGTAATATCTGCTTCTAGCTCGCAAATATCAATATTTGAGAGCACAGATTGTGATATAGATTTAGATATATGATAAATTATTATGATGTATATAAGTAGTATGTATAATAGGTAATAAATTGTTATAAGTACATTTGTGATCATGGTGTGAAGAAGAAAACAAATTCAGGTTACATAAAAATTATTTTTAACCTTCATAATTTTTATTTACCTATTATATTATTCTTTATCTGCACTTGACGGTTTGTAAGGATCAGTTTCATAATTTTCTATCAGTAAATTTTTGAATCTTCTTACTGTAACAACTATAGTTTCCTCCTTAGCAGCTAAATTCAATACTTCCACACGAGACACATATAGGTGATCTGGATTATGAGGGCTAATGCTTTTAATTACATCTATTTCACTTCCCACTTTTACCTATAAAGAATTGATTTTTATTTGTATATATATTTGTTGAACTGTTCTAATTTTAATCCATTTTTTTTTCATTTATTAATTGTTAACAATGAATTATACTTACTGCATGGCTTTTTTTCAATATCTTTTTTCCATTGATTCTGATTTTGCTTTCATAAAACACCTGTTCTATTTTGCTGAAAACAGACAAAGAAATATCAAATATAATAACGTAAACAAATGATAATATAAAAAAGAAGGGTCTTAATTAAATATCTAAAATTTGTAGGAAAGTAGATACAGTTTTTCGCCCTTGCAGGAATCAGACAAGCATCTTCCAGAATCAAGCTTAACAGCCCACTGCCACGGTGGTTAGAATTTCAATGTATTTTACACATTTTGTTTTGCATTTTAAGCAATGCTTGGCGGCATCTATTGTAACATCCTTTACAGAACATAAACAATTTCAAACAATGTTTTACAACAAAAGATTGAATGAGACATGTCACCTTCAATATTGAAATTAATAATTTACAATATTATGTTTTAGAATATTATTTTAATTTAAGTTATTCCTCATACTTACTTCCTGGAGACGCCAAGAGCGGATTTTAGCACACCATCTGTCCTTAACGATGTTGTGTTGAATTTTATGACTTTGGAGTCCTTTGTCAGAGAATAATCATCCTCATCATCTTGCTCATCATCGGAGTCTAAGTCACTCTGCTATTCTTATAAAAAATTATGAGAATCACTATAAGTATGAAAAAAACTATTGGTAAAGTTGCCAATAAAAGAGACTAAACTGATGATGACAAAAATGATAAAACTTTTGTCTTCTAAGGAATATATTTTATTTATTATCGGTCGCAGCAGTTTCATGGGCAGGCTCGTCCAGGTAAGTATCACAAACTCAAAGCAAACCGGCGTAAAGTGGAAGTATAATACTTTCGTGTTTCGTCTGGCGAGTGAGGTGGCCGGAGCCCAATTTTCAATAGGTTGTCAATGCAACACTATGATGTTGCAGATGTCTATGGGCGGCGGTATTCACTTAACATCAGGTAACCGTCTGCTCGCTTGACAACTTTAACATTAAAAAAAACCAAAAAAAAACATTAAATTTTTAATTATTTTTATATTAAATGTTCATTATTTCAAATTTTTGGAATTTAGAATCGCTATAATTATAAAAATAGATTACTTTTATATTAATGTGATAATTAGGATTATCATTTTATTACTGATCGAATCAACTACAAAATGACCTAGGTTCAAAGTGGAACAAGAAAAATTATAAAAGTTTCCAAGTCAAATTACAAAAGTTTTAAAACATAAACATATCTAGTAGTCATCTGAAGTTTAGCTTACCTTTTTAGATTTATGGCGAATAGAAATATGAGGAATATTCGCAAAAGTATAAAAAACTATTGGCTTAACTTGGTTTTGAAGTTGGGAGTTTATCACTGCACTATGAAAGTACTTAATTCTTATTTCTGAATGTATAATGCGATTTCGTAAAATCGTATATGGTGTTCGTCGCAATGCGTTCATTTTTATAGGTTTTTTGAAACATCCACTTAAAACTGGTTACATAAAATTAAATCATTCACATCCATCCCTACATCATGCTTATTGTCAACTGTCAAGTGTCAAACTGTCAATGTCAACCTTGATCAGTATTGCCATCAAGTTTTACTGAGTTGCCGTACTCGATATTCCAGATTCCCGTATTTTTTAAATAAATCTTATGAAATTGCCGTATTGATTAAATAAAAATTGAAGTGGGACAACAGGCCAAAAAATGACCTACTGATTAAGTGTGATATCATCATAAAAATTTTTAATCGACTGAATTACTTCGCTGTCTTGTTTACTAAAACAATATTTGTGTTAAACAATAAATATGCGAATTTTGCGTTTTTGCACACATATTATGTGCTAAAATGTAATAATGTAGTTCTTCTGGTTTTTCTGTTCTGGTACAAGTTTTTCCATATTGGAAGAATTTTCTGATTTCTCCTTCTTTGTAGCTTGTTGCCAGTAAGTCTTGACATAAAGATTTGTATTTGCGTTGACTTCTAATCTCTGCAAACTCTGTCAGTGATTTCCAGGGATTCAACTTCTGATATAATAGGGATGAGCCAAGTAGCCTTGTGAATCAACATTGGATTGCCGATAATTGGATTGATATAAATGGCAAAGCGCATCTTGATTATTAATATGTGCTTCAAATAAATTTAAATTGTTTATAGTGCTAATCTTTGCACTTAAGATTGAACATTAAAATATGTAGAAAAAGTGCGAAAAGATTGTCGCCGCTGTGGGAATCGAACTCACGTCTTCGGCATTCGCGGCCTGACGCTCTAGCCACTGAGCTAAACGGCTGATTGCCACACCGACGAAAATCTTAACGCATTCTTCTACATTGTTTTCTTAGCATTGAAGCAATGCTTGGCGCCATCTATTGTTATATCCTTTCCAGCATACAAACAATTTCGAATATCGTTTTACAACGATAATTCGAACGAGAGATGTCGCCATTGCTTTTTAAGAAATTTAAATTGTTTATAGTGCTAATCTTTGCACTTAAGATTGAACATTAAAATATGTAGAAAAAGTGCGAAAAGATTGTCGCCGCTGTGGGAATCAAACTCACGTCTTCGGCATTCGCGGCCTGACGCTCTAGCCACTGAGCTAAACGGCCGATTGCCACACCGACGAAAATCTTAACGCATTCTTCTACATTGTTCTCTTAGCATTTGAAGCAATGCTTGGCGCCATCTATTGTTATATCCTTTCCAGCATACAAACAATTTCGAATATCGTTTTACAACGATAATTCGAACGAGACATGTCGCCATTGCTTTTTAAGAAATTTAAATTGTTTATAGTGCTAATCTTTGCACTTAAGATTGAACATTAAAATATGTAGAAAAAGTGCGAAAAGATTGTCGCCGCTGTGGGAATCGAACTCACGTCTTCGGCATTCGCGGCCTGACGCTCTAGCCACTGAGCTAAACGGCTGATTGCCACACCGACGAAAATCTTAACGCATTCTTCTACATTGTTTTCTTAGCATTTGAAGCAATGCTTGACGAAAATTTTAATGTGCTTCAAATGCTAAATAAAAATGTAGAAGGAAGGCGTTAAGATTTTCGTCAGTGAGGCAATTAGCCGTTTAGCTCAGTGGCTAGAGCGTCAGGCCGCGAATGCCGAAGACGTGGGTTCGATTCCCACAGCGGCGACAATCTTTTGGTACTTTTTCTACATGTTTTAATGGTCAATCTTATGTGCAGAGATTAGCACTATAAAAAACTTTAAAACTAAGACATAGGTTTATTATCTTTTGCTTTCTGAATTTGGTAATTGTCTTTTTTATTGTGCTTTATTATGAGCCCAGTGGCCTTGATAGCTTCGTTGGAAGAATTTTACAGACAGGTGATAGATACATGGACTCATGAGAACAAGCAGCTGATGGACGATGATGCCACACTGTTCACGCAACAGGTTCTGCTGTTGTACGAATGGGCAGCCTGCTAAAGGGAAGTTCGAACTAAGCACATGCTTTCGCGTTTCGTCTGGTGAGTGGGGTTACCGAGACCCACATTTTTAATGGTTGGCAACGAATCTACAACCCGTTACATTTTGCAATCACTTAACATTAGGTGAACTTCTGTTTGTTTGCCAATATATCACATAAAAAAATTGGTTTTCATGCCCTAAAAAGGTCATTTACCTGACCTACCTTCATCAATTAGTCGTCAAACGACAACTGTACACTTATACCTACCCTATGATTAAACACGATCGTTGCCTTAAAATGGACACATCTAATGAAGAAGTGGCTGAAGCGATTGCCCTATCAGAAAAGACCAGAGTCATGGAAGAGTGGCTCGTGTTGTTAAAAACCGGCCAAATGCGAGTCGGACTCGTGCACGAAGGTATAATATAATATAATGAATGAATAGAGAGTATAATGTTGTATAACCCGAAGTTGACTCCAGCTCATCTTGCGTCCCACAACGTGTCACAAGAGAACACGTCAACTGGACCGTTTGAAAGTGGAGCTCTGTGCTTTTTTCCAAATTGAACATTTATTTAACGAGCTTAATAGAAAATTTCGCTCAATAAATCATACGCCAGCTACGGGATCGGAGCTTCAGGCCGCACTCCCTGAAAAATAGGAAGGCGTTTCTCAAGAAAATGAAAAATCTTATCTGTTATATGAACAACCAATTTGGAGCTGTATTTAGGCCTAGGGAGGTAACACTAAATATTGATTTCATTTTTATGTTTGCTTTTCCACAATATAGTTTTTATTGAAATATAATATAACAAAATAAATAATAAAGTAATAATACTTATAGTAATAATATTTGATAATTAACTTTAACCAAAAACAGTTTGTGGTTATATTGCTGGAAATGAAAAATAGCATCCATATGGGTGAGCTTAAAGCAGATATAAATGATAAGACTTTTTTACCAAACGGAATGAATCATTATTTTATTAGTACATCTCTTTATGAACAGATCGGTTTGATGACTGAAACAGGGTATACCAATTGAGAGAGTATCCGTTGACTTAGCCATATATAAGAGCCGGCTTAGGCGTGGGAGAACGACACTTGAGTGAAAGGAGTCATCGATACTATAACGCGCCGGTGGCGTCAAGTAGACTCTGGTAAACAAATAGTGTCAGGATAGGTGGATATTTTCTTGAGTGCGAATGTCCATGATAGTGAATGTTCTGACGTTCACGAGCCATTTGCAATTCTTAGCGTAGAGTACGCTTTTACCATTAATTATTGACTTGTCAACAATCTATATTAGTAAAAGAACCTATCTTGAAAGTAAATTCGATGAGACAACTAGAAACTTTTATTAAATGCGTTTTATTAAAAATTGCAGATTTTATTGCGAATTCTAATATGAAGATATTAGAAAACAAATTTTTCTTTAATTCCCTGCTGAAGTGTACGTTACAAAAACTTAAATTAGTCATCCTATTTGCATCATTACCCATCAGCTTACGCGTTTTCGTTTTTGCCGTACTGTTAATCAATACGAGAATATTGTGTACATTATATCCATCACAGTTTCTCTTCAGTTCTTGCACATACACGGAGAGGTAAGAAACCAAGAGTGGAACAATATAAGTAAACGCTAATTTCATTTTGCTTTGTCTTAATAAGCATGGTAAAAAGTAAATAACTCTGTTAACTTCATTGAGCGTTAAGAAGATATTTGTTGATTCTGCAAGTGCTTTGATATTCCACGACATATTTTTGAAATTAATAAATGGTACCGCATGTTTTAATCAAATAATAGGCATATTATTACGATAAAAAATAGCAGTATTAGCTGTAACACTAAAATTAAAAGAACCGTCATTTCAACGGCATGCATCGCCATACTTCATCACATTATACACGGTTTGTCTCTTAGTAACATGTGGACACATGTCTCGAATTCGAAACGACCTTTTTATTTTCGTATACGATTATACTCTCGGCGAGTTCAAAGGGGTTTTTAATTTGACACAGTTTATGGCTTTGTCTCGGCGTTTGATGGAGGTGTGTGGAATAGACGCGACGCAAGTGAACAAGTATTTAAATCCATACGTCTGTTTATAAGATAATCCTCTGTGTTTTCATATTCTATGTTGTAGGCAAACTCGATGCTGATCCATTCATATGCATGATTTTATGGAAGCGAAAATTACGAACATATCTTATTTATATTGCATTTTTTTATTTTAAGGTTTATTGTCAGTACTAAAATTATTTGTTACATTTAAATTAAACTCTTTCGTTCAGTTTTAATTTTTTTTCCAACGATTTGAACCATTTTCCGCGTTCACGGTCACGGGGAAACTGAGGTTTTGAACATCATGGCGTCATTGATATTTCTTTTCAACATTTTGTATTTTTTGATTGTTTTGTTAAATATCTGTCAAATAATATGTTACGGAACTTTTGGTAGAGTCCTTTAAAATCATTTTTGTTACACCGTTTTATTGTTTCCGTCACAAATATTTGAAATTAACATATTACCGGAACAATACTTGTTGATGCTTAATAGTCTTGAACATACAACGATTAAATTCTTAGCTTTATTACTTGATTGTACGGTCGTTAACAGAAGTTGTTACCAATCGATTGCACCGCGACTGCCGCACGTACACGAATTACGATTCAGTTGTTAAAGGCTAAGGAACAGCGTGTAAAATGCGTTGCTCGCTATGTGCAGGTCTTATTTCGATCTTGCATGGTAAACTTTCTTTATTATAAGCGCTTCTTGAACAATGCAGCTTTACTATGCTTTACGCCCGTCGACGACGGAAGTTATGAAGACGTCGTTGTTCGGGTTACGCTGTTATTATGCGGGAATACAAACATAAACACGACAGCCTGGTGGGTGCGGAATAAATCAAACCGCGAGAGCATTAAAAATATTATGCGTTCCTGGACACCGACTCCTTGACGTATCTATATCACCTACTTACCTGCACGCGACATTTTACCTTATAGCAATCGGAAATCGGGCCAC